ATATTTATTTTGACATACGGTGGAGCAATTAGAGTTCAAATCTTGGGGTGCTACAAATATGTAACACTTACGGAGCCACCCGACATTAGACATTGCCAATCTTTTATTTTAACTACACCTAGATTTTATGATATTCACATAATATTGTAAAAAAAAAAACTATTAAATATCTATTTTATCTTTGATAATAAATTGTATTTTATATAAAATTGTTGATTTTTAGTTTAATTTAATTTATTTTATAAATAAAACTTTCTGCGTCTATATCAGCAAATAATATGTTTTATTTTTTTGTTTTGGTTGAAATGTCATCCGCCAAATCTCTTTTGATGTTTGGATTTTATGATACTTGGGTCGGTGAAACATTGCTGTTTCTTGGTTATTCTTTTCTCTATTCACATCGTTGAAAAACTACGTTCACGTGTTGCTGATCTCCCGGGGACAGGTAATGCAGCTCAACACAATACTAAATACTATTAATATTACTTATAATATACGATTGGAATGTAAGATCAGAAAAACAGGAGCTTGGGGTTCTCAAACTTAAGTTGGTAGAAGTTTCAGCAGGGGCGGTATAAGCCAAACGGTCTGGAAAAATGATACACCGTCTGCTCGAGGGGTTGTTGTTGTCGTACCGGCAGACTACAGTAGTAGTTTTTTTTTTTTGATTTCGTCTGGGAACACACGCTGCTGAACACTGCAGTAGTCGTGGTAAGTATAATACTATTATTATGTCTCAATGTCTAAACACGCGTATTTCTTCCACCGGGATTTTGCGGTCGCAAAGTCGCCGTCGTTGGTATTATTACAATAGCGGGCAAGACAAATGGAAGAATAATATTATAATTTTAATGTGCACCAATAAAACGAGCTTTCGCTTATTTATAGAGGACGGGGCGTCGACGTCGTGGTGTTAATATTAATATAGATGGTACTACAGAGCTGTACACAGTGTATTGTATAGTATATATTTTTCCACTTCGGTGCCTACTGGCTACTACTACTACTACAATAATTGTACACTACTGTCTTCAATTCGCGACGCCGTCCGCTGTCGACTTCAACCGTTCGCTATAATATACCACACCTTCACAATATATTAATCATCGTCCGACTGCGTTCTACAACACGTACATATAAATTATACATTATTATTAGGTATATATTTACGCACTAAACAGTGTCCGAAATTAGACGGGCCGCGAGAGACGCGACACTGCAGCAGGTATTAGGAAGGAAAAGCGACTGCCTATTGAACTAGCCGCGGAACATATTATTATAATATGTTGTACATGCGATCTAAACTTGGCGTTGCCGACGTGTAGGTATATATATAGATCGCTCGCGAAACGTACACAATACGTTTACGTCTGCACTGCCATTACTCTGTGGTCTGCACAGTCCGTACAGAATATTATTATTATTTATTACGTTATTACTTATTATTATTATTATTATTATTATTATTGTACGCATTTCTACACCGTAAGATAATACGTACACATTGCTCGTCTTCCGAGCGACAAACGAAGCGCTTGAGTGAGAACCGAGAATGACGATGCAGCCGCTGGTCATAGGAGAGCGACAATGACAGTGACAAGGTGTTGGCCGGGTGGTGGTGGTGGTGCGTAGGGGGATGGACCACGACGGGGGTCACCGCGCGAGACGTCTGAAGAGCCACGGGCTAAGGCATATAATAATAATAATAATAATAATAATAATAATAATGATATGGTTTACGGGACGGTGAGTAATGTTGTTTACTGTTTTCTCACGATGGTTAGCGGCGCAAGGTCAACAGGATGTTTATTTTTAGAACAATCTCATTTTTGCTCTCTACAGCCTACACTTATGCCGTCCGTTCGCGTCATAACGGATAATGTTGATATGGACGACGAGCGACGATGCGATGGTATGCCGTACGCCCGGGACCCGTTTTAACGTCTAAATTATAATATAAATACACATGAGCCAATTGCATTCAAAAATTGATTAATTTCATGGTTCAATAACATTTAAAGGACCAATCGTCGGCCACCATGTCATGTTTTAAAGGAACATTAGAGCACTAGTGATTTGTTAAATGTTTATTAATTATTGTTCAATCAACCCGGCACAGGTGTATACAAATAATAAATAATAATTAATGAGAAGGTATGTGCGTTATACTATTATATAATGTATTTTCAGTCGTGTACACCAGGAGTTGGATCTGATCTGATTCATTTTCGGTCATCGACGACGTGGCTAGTGGTGACCACGTAGTGATGGTAACCAACGATTTCCAAGGGTGGTTTTGGGTAATTACTAATTATAATAATAATATTATGGTCATAAATTATAATATTAAACACTTATTAATATATTATTTTAAAACGACAAACAGGTGCTTCCATCTGCTGTTGGGAATGAGATTTTATGTGTATAACTATTGTCCGGCAAGGCGGCGCCGTCTATATGCACCAGAGAAAAACAATTATATACATTTATTTCAACGTTATTGTATTTTAGTATTGATTTTTCATAAAGTTTTTGGGAACACGAATTTACTTAAACAACATTTCTAAACTGTTTAATTATACTTTTCTAAAAGTAACATTCTACTAATTTAATTTATAACAATAAGTTCAATACGGTAACTACTGTACATTGTTAATACGAACTATGAATCAAAACGGAAAACGTTTTATTATTGAACGTCACATTTTGCGCGAAGTAATTTACCATATTAGCCAGATTTGTGTACGAATTTTTTTTTCTGCCGTCTATACTTTCATTATACTTACGAATTACTATCGTCTATAATAGCTCACTTTCGATTGAATTCGTCATTGAACCGTGAAAACCATAAATATAAAATAAGTAACTTTGCTTACCTAGAAGATTTAAAAATATATGTAGTTCAATTATACAGCACGTCACGATACAGTACAGGAGCCAATTCCATTCTAAATTCGAAAGATATCGTAAACAATAGTGGGTTAAGATTAGCCATAGAAGTGCTTCGTAGTAGCTTAAACATATAGAGTAGGTATCTACGTTTTACTACATAGCTGATGACTGATGAGTCAATTCAAATTTATACCCACTTAAAATATTAGAAACAATGTAGGTGCCAAGACTAATGAGCTCTAACAATGAAAAACAAAAATAAAAATAATAACGAATCAATTATGTTTACGAAAGTTCTTTGAATACGTATCTGAACTAATTAATTTGAGGATAAATCAACTTTTTTGGGAGAGCAACACACACGGCATAAACACAGATCTCAATTATCTTATAAAATAGCATACATCACCTAAAATACTCAAAAGACATCTGAAATGAATACCCGCAGAAAGTATAGATAGGCACTAGGCACACGAGTTTCATCTAGGAGTTTGAATATGAAAAATATTTGAAAACAGCTATGAAAGGATTCTACTGAGTGTCTGTTTGTTGACGATTCTTTGTGTATTTTAACAACTTCATGAATATGTTTGAAATTATTACAACCATTTGAAAATATAATAGCAGATGAACCAAATGCGTTGAAAAATGGACAGTGTAAAGCGTTGAGCTCATTATTAACACACATAAAAAAAATTTGAAAAAAAGTCTTAAAATTAAAATTCAATAGTTTAAATATTTTGAAGTTGCTATTGAGTGTAGACAATGATAATTTAAGTACCTGTGTAAGTAAAATTATGAGTTCCTATAGTTAATACTTTTTGAACAACAACAAAACAACTTTTGTTATTTTATGTAAAATATCCATTTTATAAGAATTTTAACTTCAAATGTTCATAAACAATTCTTGAGGATTTACTCTTAATTTTTGTTTCCAATAATTTAAGCAAACACCATCTTGATAAAATAAAAATCATTACAAAAATATTGTTTATTTTGAAATACAATTTTGAATTACATTATTTCAATTTTCTTCTTTTTTAAAATTTCTTTTTATTTTCTTTATTATTATTATTTTCAAATATTTTTTTTTTTAGTTCAACTATTATTTTAATTTTAACTAACACAAATAATGAGGAATCTTGAAATTTGTATTATAATATTATCAAGATTTTTAAGCAAGGGAAAAATCTTGTATCAACAATAATTAAAAAAACAATTAAAACTAGATATTTTCTCATGCTAAAATGGCTCAAAAAGAATCCCAATCCTTCAAAAATATTATGATGCATACAAATTGCTAATATAAACATTCAGTTAAAATTGTATCTATATTCGGTAACTTTTTTAGAGTTACATTGAAAAAAGTGATTAAAAAAGATAATAATATGAGAGTTTAATAATTACAATATTATATAAGCCTATTTATATTCAAGCGACAAAATGATCGAATACGCGCGATGAGAATATAAGATAAACATCTTTAACGGTGCATCTGAATCATCAGTTAAGCTCTCTAAAATGTAAAAGTGTTATCAAAGTAAATAAAAAAATAAAATGTAAAAGATATTAAAATTATAACATACTATATTTAATTCTTATTGTTATTAAAATTATACTTGCAATTATAAATTAATAGATAGTAAAAAACTAATTGATATATAACAGGGCAAATCCATGGCAAGGGAAAAGATTTTGTGGGGGCACTCAACAATTTTCACTATTATATATTACCCCTAACTAATATATAACATTATAGGACCTATAATAACCTAAACTAACCTTTATATACTAACACATTAACTATACAATCAAACTATAGTATAACAAAATGTAATATTTTCAATATTTTTTCCATGGCATGCTCTAAAAAAAAAAAAGTAATTACTAAAATTGGGCACGTAGTGTTCAAAAGATTTGCTGTCCCTGAAATAGAATATACATGCTTTGATATTATCAGTGAGTTACCGTTGTTGTAAAACAATTGTAGCTCATTTTTGGAAGATAGTATGTATCATATTGAGTTTTATCACTAATTGTACATTTTAAAATATAAAATTCTGTAATGTTAATCAAAATCAAATATTTTTTTATTTATGAGTCCAAAATCTACATTAATTTGAAAAGAAATTCAAGAGTGATGAGTGATACTATAAATCGGTAAATAAAGTATAATGCTATACATGCATAGGTATTGTAATATATATTATATAATTATGTTTTAAGCATTGACTGTAAGAACTGACTGAGTACTCCCAATGATTATAATACAAGGTGGTAACCCTCTAGAAATAGTTTCTATCCAACTCATGAATAATATATTGATATCCTCGTTATTTTTTGGAGTCGTTCTGGAAATTTTTTTTTTTAAATCAATCTTTAACGTAAAATAAAACTTTAATATTATTAATTATTATACTTACAAGATGATAAGATCAGAATTAAATGAATGCAATTCAATTAAATCTCTCAAAAATAACGTTTCAGCAATATGTTCTTTTTGTAAATTGTAATCATCAAATTGATTCTCTAGAAAATAAATGCAAGTTTTTATAAAAATAAATAATGATGATTGATTACCTATAATATAAACAACGTATAAAATATTTTTCACTATTATTTTTAAATACAGGGGTTGTAAAATAGAGAGTTTTGTAGTAATTGTAAACATAGGTACCTATATGATGTATCATAAATAATTAACATAATATAACATGTTATAAGTTTTATGTTACCTTTGGAAACTGCGCGTTCTAAAAAATAGTTGAAATATGTCATTGTTGTGGGACCGGTGGTGTTTGCTAAAATGATCTCCAAGTAGTCGTAATCAATTCGATACAGTGATAACAATTGTTTTAATCTGAAAAAAATGTGTAATTATATATTTACATTTGTTTGGCTTTATATTTCACTACTTATGGAAAATAGTCTATATATAATACCACAATATGTCGTGTTCTATTTAATATTATTATCTTTTGGACTTTTTAGGTAGATTTAGTTGTATAGTCAATAATTTTTCAAAACAGCTTGAAATGTTATTTTTTGGAGGCAAAATAAATTAAATTAAAATATTAATGAAAATGTAGGTAGGTATAACTTAAGTGGTTTGTACACATTTATATTAAGTATAAGTCTATAACAGGTGATTCTATCGCTACAATACCTACTAGTTAAGGTCACATGTGAAAAACCCAACATGCCTTTATATACTTTTAAACCATAAAAAATGACTAGTCTAATAGACTTGCATATAAATTAGGTATTTGAAAACCTTTTTTAATCATTGTTGTCTTGTTGATGATACATAAATATAGGGGTAAAAAGAAATCATTCTCCAATATCCGGTCTTGAGTCTGGACTAGTACTTTATTCCAGATAATATTCTTAGAATAATGAAAAGAAAAAGAGAAAAAATTTAATTGATATAAGTCTCAGTTTATTAAGTGTCACTATAAGGGTGGCTGATATTTTTGGAATGTCATTGTATTATATCAAGTTATATCACATTAGCCATTTGGTAGGTTTATCCTTGGTCCCTTGGTCCTGCAAGGTGGATTTGTAAATCTATTTCTTAAAAACAACAAAATACATACTTGGTATTACCACAGATTATATAAAAACAGATGGCGCACTTCTGACTTTACAGATAAGTCGAACCTACCGCAGAAGAATCATAATATATGAGAAATAAATTATTGTACTTACGACATATTTACTATAATTATTGTATCAAATAACATGGCAATGGTAAGGATTTTGGGAGGAGTGATAAATAACCGTGATGCTTAGTTAATAGTTAATAATTTTTCATAAAAACTGCTTTTCTCTTAAGTGGTGATAGTGTTTTGAATATTAATTTTATATAATCTGTGGTATAACAATAAATACCAATGCTTGGTACTATTTAAACAATTTATCTCTATTGGAGCTAGAGCACGCATAATATTATATACTATTATGACTAATTCGATATTTTTATACCAATACAATTTTCATAAAATAATGGTATTTACTTGTGTTTTTCCTCAGACAAACATTCAATTTTGTTTGTTACTCCATAAATTCGAAATTTACAATTTTTCCACGTAGTACTATGTTTTAATATAAATGCAATGATTAACGATAAACCTAAATACAGTATCAATACAGTTTTATTATTTCCAACAAGTTGTATGGATATAAAAGATAATTTAGGTACATTAAAAATAAGTACTTATTTAATATACCAACCTCCATCGTTGTACAACCACCACACGTCTACTGTTCCATGATTTCGTTTCTTCTGCTCGAATGAAAATTCCTCGTTCTTTATTTTTATAATGCAATCAGCCACCCTGCAATTGTTTTCTTATATTATATAATATATGCTAATTATTCTATGATTAGATAAACCTATTAATTTTAATAATAATTATAAATTGTATAATATAGGACATACAAACAGTTTGATACACCTGAGATATAAAATGTCAAAACTTATAAACAAGATAGGGAAGCTCATTTTGTGGGCATGCTAAATTCCGGATTCTAACCTCATAACAAACAAGTTATTATAACTATTTAACAACGCTATTAATTATAATTTCATACACAATATATTCACAGTAACTACAGATACTAAATAAATAACTTTATACTAACATCCGCAACTATGGGTAACTATGGTAACTAACAGGCGGACGAATGAACGGGCATAACAGGGGTCTAAGGTTTTTTAAACTTTTGTTTAGAAACCTAAAACCTAAATAACTAACTAATACATTTTAAAAATAAATAATAGTTATAACTACTTTTGTTGATTTATAATATTTTGATTTGCTTGGGTTTTACTCGGGATTTCTTCATTTTTATGCTTAACATCTTGAGTTAATAAATTCTGATCATCATAACTCTCAGTTGATGACACACGGACCATGATTGTTGACATGTTATTCATATTTGCCACACTAACAAAGAAGTATCCATTGTAACATACATTTGAAGTATCAGTTATATGAATGTAAAATATTTTAAATGATACGTACTTGAAAATATTTAAATAAGTTTGAAGATCTTGATACGGACAATTTAACCAATCAGACTTGTATCCAACCATTGCTATATTTGGTCTTAATTGTCCATGTCCACAGCTATGTATCATATGCGTTGCTAAGTCCAATTCTATGTTATCAATGACAACATAAAGGGATTTTATTCCAGAACTTCTTAGCCACTGATTTCCTTCATCAAGGCATATTTTCTTTTGTCTTGGTGTAAGCGATATCTTTATAAAAATATTTACATTCATAATTGTAATATACGAAATTACCACAAATTGTATTATTTTTTTGTAAAATCTTACCTTTTCAACATTGACACACATTTGTACACCATTATTCTTTGTTATCAAATGAGCTAAAGAAACTAATTTTTTTCTTGACTCAGGTTTTCCCGTAAACACAATCAAATTAGGTAAATAATTTTTGGTATGGTATTGAATGGTATCGGCTTTGTACACGTTTCTTACAACTGTTTTTATTTGTTGTGTTTGCATAGAAGATCCCCAATTTATCACTTTATTGAATTATAATTTTTATTAATATAAACATCGATTAGTTAAGTAGTGAGGTTCATTATATAAGCAATTTAACAAACCTTCATTTTTTCTACCAGCAAGTATGTATAAAATACATACAGCACAACCAACAATTGTCGACGTTATTTTATCATTAATTATCATTATTAAAATACAGATAATAGCTGCAGCAAGACTTAACCATTTGTTATAAAACTAAAAACGTAATTAAATAATATTTTATGGTTATAAAACATAAATGTAGATTGTACGTAGTTAACCTTAACTATTTATAACTAGGGATATTTTCTAAACATCTCCTCAATATTTCTCACAAGGCCAATCATACTACTCTTAGTTCAATTCTTAGGACTAATAGTTTGCTTAAAAATCCGGACATTGAATCTTCAATATCGAAATTCCTATCCGACCTAACTTCTATTTTTGAAGCTATGCTCATCAGTATTTAATACTTCAATAAATCCATTATAAAAAAAATCACCATATGAAAATTATGTCAATTGTTTATCTTTTTATGTAGTCTATTCTGCATGATTATAATCTGTAATATTGTGGAGTTAAATTATAACTTCTTGTAGAAATTATATAAAATTGAATGTAAGTAGTTGTCACGCAGCTGTAATTTTTTATCACCATTCAATTTCTTTTCATCGAAAATTTCATATGAATATACATTTTTCATAACAAGTCAAAATATTTTGTTAGTTATTTGGCGTAAAGAAAATGCGTATATAAACATTAAGTGAGAATTTCATTTATCCTAATATTTTTTTTTTAAAGGTTCATAAAAAACCAAAATCAATTTTTTCGAAAACCAGGTTTTCGGTTAATAATTTTTGGTTTTCCTTAATTTTTTGTTTTTTTTTCTTCACGCTTTTGAAAACTATTGGGATTTTTCACAACAACGTACCAACTAGATTCACTTTCCTACTAGAATGGATGTATTTGATCGCTTCGCTCATAATCTAAAACATATTGTAAAATCAATATATTCATCGCTCTGCTCAAAATCTAAAAGAAGGATACATCATTCATATACATTCAACGCTCCGCTCAGAATCTAAAATATATATGAATTTATGTATTCATGTATTATTTAGTGAAAAGTAAGTACCTTGTACGTTGGCCTCCAGCCCAAAGGCTTAAAATATGCAACATGAAATGTACACAAGTTTAACATGGCGTATGCAGATAAATAAAGAGTTGATATCAATGAGGCAATGCCAAAAATATAATCTAAAAAATACATATTAAAAAGTTTTGGATGATTCCAAAAAATAAAATAAAAATAAACGATAACATTTTGTTTTTCCAATACAAACAAATTGTATTGCTTTTTATAATATTATGTTGACGACAATAAGTATAACTTTTTGGAAACATTTGATTATTTGAACTTAATAGTTTGGACTACTATAAAACTACTTTAATAATACATATTATATAACCTATTACCCATATATGAATATGAATATATATAACAATATACTATTGTGGACACAATCATGGTTAAAACATGTGCACGATAGGGTTCTTCATTTTTCCCATAACCTTTTGCTAAATACTTAAGAAGCGGATAAACATCATCTCGCCCCATTCTTTGTAACAATTTTGGAACAATCGTTAATGATGATACAGCATTAGTATCAGAAGCCGCTAAGTAACCGACGATTACAGTATTCGGCCATAACGAAATCGAATAAAAAAGCTAAAAACATTAAACGATTAATGTAAATTTACATGATGTGTGACTTGTATGCAAATCAATTATATTAGTAATTCATTAACATGTGGGGTATTGTACAATCCTCTGGAGCAATTTCTTGACGAACAGTTTAAAAAAGATCCATCTTCAAATTCTTTTTCAATGCCACTAGCTTCTCTTAAATGAACCGACCCAGTAACTACTATTAATACAATATAAGAAGTTGTAGTAATAAGGATCGATAATAGTGTCCCTTTTGGTATTGAAGCACTAGGATCCTAGAAAAAATTTCGAGTTTATGATGACTTGTAGAATTAATATTATTTTGTGTACTTTAAGATTTCTCGATGAATATTTTACTCCAGCGTGTATTCCAGTTACAGATGGAAAGAAAACACCGAAAATTGTAAAAAAGGATTGCTGAACATTTCTATAATTAGTCCTGTAGTCAGGATACCAGTTTTGTTTGAAAGTTTTCACTGGAATGTAATGTGAACTCATGTAAATAGCCAATAATAATTAATTAATCATAATCAAATATATTACTGTCAAATCCATTGAAGCCTCTTGCCCGGGCCAAGGTACTTTGTGGGCCAGTATATGCACTAACAATTACGTTAAAAATAGAAACAATTATCGCCACGAGAGGAGCATTTTGTATCTAAAATAAAACGATTATAAAATTTTTAATAGCTTATGTAATAGTATTATACAGACTTTAGCTTGTTTATCCATGTCAATACAACAAAGTATACTCATAAATATTATAGACGCTGCTCCTAAAGCACCGAATTTCAAATTTGATTCCATTATGTCTATATCCAAGAAAAATCGTAGACATAAACATAAATATAAACAAAATATGTATGTGTTCATGGCTGCAGAAACTATACTCGCAAACGCTAATAGGATACCAATGGACGCTCCGAATTCCGGACCAATTGTCCGGGAAATAATGAAATAAAGACCCCCTGTATAAATAAAATAATAATTAATGAATTAATAAAAATACTTGACTAAAAAGAACATTATATTAGAAAATAAAGAGAAAGAAGATGAAGGTAGAGGTAATATTGTGGCTATGTATTTTCAATATTATTAAATTTCCATCAACTGATAAGAAATCTTGGATAATACAGTGAGTTCCGCTGTGATCACTGGTTTATAGAATTAACCGTTTATTAGAATCAAAAATGAAAACACTTTTATGAACAATCTTACGTTTTTATGGTATCTCAAAATGATTAATTTATAAAACCCATTTTATTTTTGAACTTATTAGTATGACAGTATACCGTTGTACGTTATTATGTTATTCAATTATCTTTGTGTGTCGTGTACTTGTGTCATTTATTATGTATGTTACATTAAATATATAATTATAAATAAATATGTAATTGTATAAAAAGATCGAATTAAGAAAAAAATGTTGTAAATGTTTTACAGAATCAACCGGTTAATAGAATCAAAATGACCTGCACCAAAGTGATCACATTAAGCGGAACCCACTGTATTATAATTTTTTTTTATTAAAAAAAATGGAAGTGATTGATGGATATTGGTCTTACAACGATGTGTTATACTACAATAAAAATATTCCAGACAGTAAAAACCATTTAGGTAGGTAGCTATAGTTAATTAAAGTCACCATATTAACAACTATGATTTGTAAAAATAAATTTATATTTTGAATTTTGAATAAGTTAATAGTTTTTTTTCTGTCCACGTTGAAACAGTTAAACTATGTTTTAAAAAAAAATATTGGGGCCATTTTTGTTGAATTTTTTAGCTTAATCTGTGTAAACTATAAGTTAGTGATTATTCCTATTTGGCAATAGAAAGCATATAAAAACAAAAACCAGTTCAATTTACTTCTTCAAAATTTACGTTATTTTTAAAGTTTATAAAATATAGTGTCTTAGTAAGAGTATAATACGATAGATTAATATACCATCTAAGTAAGAAAAAAAGTGACTCACAAATCCCAATTTGAAACTAAAAAAAAAAAAATCAAAAAAAAAATTTTTTTACTTGAGTTTTTATTTATATATACGTGTTTTAAGTTTTAACAAAATGTTATCAATATGAATATTAAAAAAGCGGGTAAGTAGATGTCGTTCTGCTGTACATTAGGTGTTTAAGAGGTCACTGTAATGGATGGTATTACATTTGAATTTCATCATATCAAATCGGCGAGACGGTAAGTCAGTTAAGGATATTTTATATTGTTATTACTTATTATTAATATAGTACCCGATAAGTTGAATTAATATTATTCTTAAATCATCAGTGATGCTGAAAAATATTAAATATACCTATGTAAAATTGGGCTGTTTTGGAATTAAACAAAATGATAACCATTATTCTTTGTGTTAATATGCGTTGGTGTCCAAATTTGAACTTAAAATGTCTGTAAAAAATAACTTCATTCATAAAATTTTTATATTTATTAGTTATGGAAAAAACTGCTTAAGTGAAACCTTGTTTTAAATGTTCAATCCTTAGCTATAAAAATTGAAAATGTTATACATTTTTAACTAGAAAATCATTTTCAATTTTCAACTTAATAAATATTGTCAAAATGTGAACATTAAATGCTTATAAAAAAATTGTGCCTATGTATTTTTAATATTTTTCAACTGCTATTGTAACAAGTTATCAAGAGTCTTGTATTAAATATTTATGGTATTTGTACTCAACCAATAAAATGTTATTGACATGTATAGAAAAAAAAATGAAAAAAATGAAAATTGAAAATGTCCATCGACAGCTTAAAACGTGTCAAAGTATTTTGAAAATTCAATCAAGAATATGAATTGACGAAATAAAAATTTGGTGTAAATTTCAAGTGTCTACAGTAATTTGTATTGAATTACAACAAAATTAGAAAATCGCTACAAGAGAAATAGAGTGAATATCTAATATTGTACAATTTTCAACTTCACTCTCATAAAAATTTTGTTTGACTTTCAGGTAGACATTTTTTGATAATGAAGACGAACTTATAAGGAATCTTGTATAACATTTTTAAATCTTAGATATAAATAAAATATTTAGTTTAAATACTCATAAAAAATTATTGTAAAATAATTATAAATTATTATTATTTTACGCTCAACTTTTTTTTTAATTTCCACTAACAACAGCTTACAAGGAACTTTGTATTATATTTTCAAGTTTTTTGACTGAGTGACAATTTTTTTATCTACTTGGGTTTAAAAAAAACTAATAATAATTGAAAATTTCATTTGCCTATAAATAGTTCAACACAAATCAAAATATTTTGAACATTATATGGTGTATAGAAAAAAATGCTTCCACAAATATTCAGTGAAAATTTCATGTATCTACGGTAATTTTTGTTAGAGTTACATAAAAAATTAAAATTGATATTTTCAAAAAATGGTTTTGCTTAAAAATTCCCGTTTTCCTTGATTTTTTAATTAAATTTACAAAATCTAAATTTTGACGTCTCGAATGCACCAGCTAGATTCACTTTCCTACCAGAAACGCTGCTATTTAAGAAAATCGAAGCACTTTTACCGCAAGAAACCGTTGTGGCAGACATAAAACAAATATATATATATAAAAACACACATCATTGTAAAATCAATACATTCATCGCTCCGCTCAGAATCTGAAAGTTTGAATTTAACTTCTTTGATGAAAAACACAACCTTTTTAGCGTCTCAGTTAATTTATAAACAGGGAAAAATAAACTATAAGTAGTTAAGTTAGACGTTACAGCAAAAGTAACTTCAAACTTAACTTTAACTTTGTAACTAGTTTGTGACCATTCTTGGCTATTGTGTTGAACAGCGTGTAAAACAATTTACCTAGGTACTTGAGTGTTTTCGAGATATTTTCAAAACTTTTTAAAAATATTTTTGTAATTATAAAATGTTTTAGGAATAATTTTCGAACATTATCATTACTAAATACTGTCGAGGTGGGACTGCAATTCCTTTAAGTAAATAAGTATAAGAAATATATTTCATTGTAAAGAGAATACATTTTAATTAATCAACTATGTTTATATTATTTTTAAATAAATCGAGTTGTGTACTTGTATATAATATTACTATAGCGGTATATCATAGATTTATTAGATTTATGATATTTTTGATTGTTATTGAATACAAATAATACCTTCTTTTAATTTTCCATTTGTGCTGATCGCCGATAGTGAAAAATTAGTTATTAGAATAATAAACAGTGAAAGAAAAATAATAATGATTGAATGAAATATTCCAGCATTTGCTAAAACCCACTGAATACTAAGGAAAAGCAACACGCTCCAAGTGCTGAGTAGACATGGGATCAACACACCTTTGACCCATCCCAGTTTTATTCCTGGGCTCACTTCTACTTTGTTTTCTTCTTCACGATATAGTTCATTGAAAGATTGAATCTTTAAATATAATAAGACATATCATTGCAAAATGAATAAAATAAAATATACGAGGTACAATTTTATAAGACTTTGTATTATTTATATTGTAAGAATAAATATGTCAATACAATCTGTGCTCTTGGGTACAATAATTGTATATTGAACTATGTGCTATTTACATGAAAATCACGAAGAAAGAAGCCACCCAGTGATAGATCTACATTTTGATTTGAATAAATTGGTAAAACTTAAAAATAAAATAATAATTGAAATGATTTTTACATTTTTTGTGGTAAATCTTTTTAAAGAAGTTTTTTACACAAACACTCATACTCAATAGTTTATCCAGTTGTCAGATTAAAAACATATAAAAGATTTAAGTTTAAATAAAAATGGTGGAATATCTAGTACTAGTGTACAACTTTAAGACATTTAATTTTTAGTGCACAGCTTTAAAAACCAATAGAATTAAAAATATTATATAGTTTTTTTTTTAAATACAGGTACCTGATCAATCCATGGACGACTTTTGTTTTTCAGTTCTTCGTGTTTGGTCATATTTTTAAGCTTGCTAAATGAGAACTGTTACATAAGAAAGTGAAGCTTTATATAATGTGTAGTAATTGAGTCATTTTTTAAATTAATTAAATGACTTATTCAAAAGCATTGGGAGTAATAATATTATACAGTAAAAGTTTACGAGATATTCACAGTAGATAAAAAATAATGAATATTTTACTACGCCTCTAGAGGCTATAATAATTAAAATTATAATCAAAACGAACTAGGCATAAAATGTATAATTATTGCGTAGTATTTAAAATAAATAAAATATTTGTATGGTATACTTAAATATAAAACATAAGGCAATCAATCATGGCGAACCATACATGATGTTAGATGATGGTACATACATACACATTACTTACGAACATGTGCATTATATATATACACAAATATTAATATAGTATAGTTGAATAATCATACATACACCCTTCAAGCTAATGAAATAAAATCACTCATCATCCTTAAATGACACCATAACACGTAAACACATTTGCATAGTCCCTCATATCATAAAACGTTAACACGCCACTAATTCATTAAGATGTACAGCCTAGTAGCAGGGGTAGTTGTTCGTTGCAGGGTGTCTTCTCCGGAGGACCTTCTCAATTGCAGTTCCCGAACACCGTATTCAGGCGAGTTGATAACTAACCTACTTTATGCACCGTATCTTACGTATTTCTCCACTGCATCCATTACAAATTATTCTAATCCGTACTTACTTACACTTCTCATTTTTACTCTTGTATATGATTTTATTTATCTTTCCGTATTTTTATTCTACTACAAATGGCCCACAACGGCCAACTCCAGCTGACATCGTTATGACTACGGTTATACTTAAATAATTACGATTTTAGGTACATTTGGGTACTGTACACACCTACCATAATATTAATACCAAAAAAAAAAAAAACTGAAAAACAAGTGTCTGCCTAGTTCCAACCGACTTTTCCAATGGTTGATATAACAAATATAAGTAAAAATATAGTGTAATGATATGCTCACACATCATTATAACAATTCAATAAAATGTAACAGATAAATAAATAACGACCAGACTGTCGCATGTAGAAATCGGAAATCTCCAGACCCCGATAAATCTTCGTTACAGACAAAATAGTCTAATTACGAACGAACACGGATTAAATAAATAACTTTCCTAACCAATACTAATGTTACTTACTAATTATAAGTTTCCTCAACTACATGATGAATTATCAAATAATTTCTACACTTTAATAAATAAAGTTGATTAAGAAATAGAAAACTGAAAAAACATACAGTTTTCATTTTTATCAGTAAGCGTCATACATATTTGCGGGAGAAGTTCGCTGCAACTTACATTTAAAATTTACATAATTTTGAAAAATATAAAAAATGTTGTACAAAAGATAACTTACAGATAGCTTACAGTAGAATTTATAGATCTATAAAAACTATACAGCGAAATCATATAATTTTAAGACAAAAAATAGGTAGCAATTAATATAATATAATACAATTAATTATAATATATGATAAAATTTGTATTATAATTTTTATAATACCTACATTATTTACATTGTTTTTCTATTTTAATTTTGATTTTTGGTATATTAATAGAAATATATAGATTTTAGATATTATGTAGTAATTAGTATAGTAATTAGTATAAATCATAAGATATATAATATACAAGAACTTGATTGTTTAGAACATAAGGATATCGCATTTATTGCATTACTAATTGTGTTAACAGAAATCTTGTATACTAAAATTCAAAGGAACATTGCAATATTACACGATAATCTATTTTATAAAAATCTCGTATCACAATATGAAAAATGTTTGTTACCAAACTTCTCCGAAACGGCTGGACCGATTTTCATGAAATTGTATGTGTATGTTAAGTAGGTCTCAGAGAGTGATGTAAACTATTTTTCATACTACTAGGTGTAAAGAGTGGCTCACACAAAATATTTTTTAATATTTAAAGTGTAAATTGTTAAATAATAATAAAACGCACCAAGCGTACAACAACACTAATATTATCGAATATTAGTATCAATTTAACTTTAAACGAGATTAAATACATGCAATTGACATAAAAAACAGAGCATTGCAATAATATTGGAAGTTTTGATAGAATATTTTTGTTTTTAAAAATTCCAGCAATTAGAAATAGAAACTTTTGTCGCGGAGCTCGCAATGCTCAAGTCAAAGATATAAAATATCAAGTAAAACACATAATTTGACGGACGAAAAGGTCAGGTTGCAGGTTACTGGAAACTCGCGGGTTGCCGTGCTATAAATATGTGTAGGTATAAACGTATACAATATACACGTTTATTTTTAATATCTCATATACTTAATTTTTTAGTGGAATTTGGTATTTATTTTTGTTTTTTTTTGGTTGCCAATAGTTGCCAATTGGCAGAACAGGTTTAAGCTTGCATCAAATCGATTAAATCATAGTATTATTCTAAATACTAATTGGGAGCGTAATAATTATTCAGTGTTCAAATTATGTAATTAAAATTTAAATACATAGAATTAAGGTTATTTTTATAAGAATTATGATTATAACTATTTGATAATATTATGATGTTAAGCAAATAATCATATACCAATTTCAATCAAAAAAAATGTTTTCATTGGAAGGGACTAGGGAGATTGATTGATTTACAGAAGATAAGATAATAATTAGTAACCTGACAGTTAATAGTTACAATCAAAGATTATGGTCAATTATCAGAAATTATTGTGGCCTCAATTATTATTATTCAATAAAAAACAACATAACTTAATTTATAAAATGTTAAATGAGTACTATTTTATTTTATAAAAAGTTATTTGCCTCTGGCTCAGTAGAAATATTTGTTAGCAAACACTTATAATACACAAAATAATAAACCTGCAATTCGTTAATAAAAAAATATTGTTTTAGAAAAGTATCTAGGAAAGTTTAGTTTAATTCATAATTGTGATATCTTAATGACAATATAGGAGATATTAGTTTAGAATTGAGGTAGTAGAGATTATAAAACCATTTAGCTGTTATAATTTATAGCATATAAGGTGAGAAATATAACAATTATATGAAAAATTAACCATTAAGACGTATAATGTCCATCGCCAATGAGGTTGACTCCTTTTTAATTCAACTACCCTTATTGTTATTACCTTCAAATCTTTTATTTTATTTTGTTGTTCTATTTTTAAGCATTATTATTATTATTATTCATATGATTTTCATTTTTTTTTTTTATTAAAGAAAAATCCTCGATAGCGTGACCATTGGCTTGTAAATTTCATATTATTTACTTAGAATTTAAATGTAATATCAATTGTATTCAAAGGGCATCGCCCTTTAATTTTTATAAAAAAATAAATAAATAATTGTTTAGTTGACAGTAAAACTTAATTATAACTGATATGGAATCCTAGTAATTTAAATTTATTTAAGATCCTGAAATCTATATAATATCTACCCCTGGCTACAGTTAATATATGTATAGGTCCTAGGACTCTCCTTGGATATTTTATTTTATTTTATTTTATTATTAATAAATGGGTGAGGACCCTTTAGAAGATTTTGATAATAGTACAGTGTAAATAATAAGTTACAATGCAAAACTTACAAATAGACAATAATAGTGAATACTTAATATGATACATAAACATTTTCATAAAAAAAAAAAAAAAGAAACAAATGTTGAGACTAGAACAATAAAAATACAGTTACCAGACAAAATAAAAAAAAAGAAAAACATAATACAGAGAAGATACAAATAAAAAGAAAAAATTAATTGATCAAATTAAAAATAATATGTGATTTTAATGATAAAATTTATATGATATGTTACGTAGTTAGTAAAAATTATTGTGAATCTAAGCTCGACTATTATTTATTTTCACTGACAACAATTTATGAAGAACAAAGTATTATATTTTCAATTTTTTTGTCAAAGCAAAAAATTTTGTACCGACAATAATTTTAAAAAAAACTATTAAAACTCGAAATTTTCTTATGCTTATAAATGGCTCAAAAAGAGACGTAATCTTTCAAAAATATTTTGGTGCATAGAAATTGTTAATATAGATATTCAGGGAAAATGTCAACTCTATTTGGTAATTTTTTTTTTGAGTTGCATTAAAAAACAAAAACAACTATCTTTCATTTTTTGTTTGTTTTTTTCTGAGGCGTTTGAAAACTATTTGGAATTTTTTTACATTTGACCTCTCATAGTACCAACTAGATTCACATTCCTACCAGAAAAGACGATCCAACCAGAGATGGTTTGAAATGATAGACACAAAAAAAACACTAATCATTGTAAAATCAATACTTTCATCACTTTGCTCAGAATCGAAACAAAATCTTTACAAAATGAGTAAAAAAAGAATAAATCATTATAAATCATTAAGTGTAAAGATATTATTAGTGCTTAAAAAGATAGTAATATGAGGGTTTATAAATTACAATATACTTCATTAAAATGATAAAATTATCTATGTAATAATATTATCTATTATGTTCCGAAACATCCCAATTTTACATGGGTATATTTCATATTTTTCCAGTATCACTGATGATTTAAGAATAATATTAATTCAACTTACCGGCTACCATATTAATAATAATAGTAATAACAATATAAAATATCCTAAACTGACATACCGACATACCGACATACCGTCTCCGCTCGGAATCGTTTTTAGTATACAAATATACAATGATTTGATATCATTCAATTCGAATTTAATACCATCCATTACTGTACTTCTTAGAGTCTTAGACACTTAATGTATGGTAGAGCGATATCCAATAACCCACTTTTTTTTATTTCAAATTATAAAATTCTGTTGTGTTCAAAATAAAATGTTTTATTTTTATAAGTGGATAAGTGAAATAATCCTGGGTATATGGAACAATATTTGTGATTATAATTACTTCTTATAAAATAATAATTTACCACAGGCGTATTCGGAAGACCGAAGAATTAGTCTAATTGAGTCGTATAGACAGAGTTAGGGTTGATATTGAGGCTTGGAGCACATTCAACTTCTCTGTGATGTTTCAATATTTTTTCTATTTTCGACTTGGCCGTGTTAGAGAAATGCAAATGTATTCTTTCGAGTTTAAGACATCACGTCTATGTCACGTAATAAAATTAAGATTTCGAAATTGTTTGGATTAATGATCTTAGTTAAATTTAGCCCCAAGTAAAAGGAAAAAACTTCGCAATGTCTACATATCCATTAATCTGAAAAGAAATTTAATAGTACGTGATTGTATACATAATTAAAGGAAAATGTATGCATATTAAGTTTGTTTATGGGTTAAGCATTGACGGTAAGAACTGGCTGAGTACTCCCATTGATTATAATACATGGTGGTAACCCTCTAGAAATCGTTTCTATCCAACACATGAATATTATATTGATTTCCTCGTTATTTTGTGGAGTCGTTCTGAAAAAAAGTTTTTTTTTATATTAATCATTCACAAATGGATAAGAACAAACATTAATATTACACTTACAAGATAATAAGATCAGAATTAAATGAATGTAATTCCATTAAATCTCTCAAAAACAATGTTTCTGCTATATGTTGTTTTTGTAAATTGAAATCATCAAATTGATTCACTAGAAAATAAATTTAAGTTATTAAAAAAGTAATTTTTGCATTAAGAATAGTTGATTATTATTACACAAATCACCGGGATGAATAATGCCATTGATTTTTTAGCTAAAATACATACAAAGTATAATATTTTCCTGTTTTTGGAAATACAATACACAGGTTGTTATAACAGGGTAATAGTGTTATAATAGGGCCAGGAACAAACAATAATAGTTCGTGTGCCCGGGCACCGATGCGGTTATCACACCTTGTCACACATCAAACCACCTTATTGCGAATAATGTAAAACAAGGGTTATAATAAAGACATCGAGATTCGAGGCGATTAGCGCACACAAATAATAAAGTATAATATTATAATATAAAAAAACTCCGGGGATTAGCGCCTAAAAATAATACAAGGATCGAGGCTATTTGAGCCATCGAACACGTAAAAAATAATAATGATTGGCGATTTGCGCCTGTGAAAATAATAAAATAGATAGATCAGCGTTAGCAATGCGGGACGGACTAACATAATTGCGGCGGCCATCCTAATCTCACACGTGCCGAATCGTCACTGCGTAATATGTGTTATATAATTCACACACGACACAATATTATAATAAAACAAAAACAAAATAAATATACATAAATAGGAAACAGATATCTTGTAATGCTTGTGTGTGTGTGTGTGTGTGTGTGTGTGTGTGTGTGTGTGTGTGTGTGTTGTTCGGTGTTTTAATTGCTTAACTGTATTCGGACCTCAACACAGGTCATAAGAAGAAAAGAGTTTTTTGATAGTTTACACTTACTATTAGCCATTAGTTATACAATATATCTTAGATTCTTAGATAACTAACGAATAATAAAAAGCTTTATCTCACTTTTGGTATCTGTGCGTTCCAATAAAGAATTGAAATATGTCATTGTTGTTGGACTAGCAGTGTTTGCTAAAATTATATCCAAGTAGTCGAAATCAATTCGATACAGTGATAACAATTGTTTTAACCTGAAAAATTAAGATTTTCATTGATAAGAATAGACAAACCTTTCAGGAATCTTGTATTAAATTTTTAAATAATATAAATAAAAATAACTTTTTTATGAATTCTAAGTGCTTTTTACGAATTTTGTCAAAATTTAAACTTTAGATGCTCATAAAAATTATTACTGATTTGCACTAAACTTATTTTAAATTTCAACTTACAATAACTTATAAGGAATTACTTACATTGTAATTACTCACATAACATTTTAAAGTTTTTAACAAACAGAAAATTATTAAAAATCGTAAATTTCATATTCTTATAAATTACTCAACTCGAGTCAAAATATTTTTTAATATTTAACCGTGTTTTAAAATCTTCTATCTACGGAAATATTTTTTAGAGTTACCTATGACAAAAAACAAAATCGTAAAAATCGAGTTTTTCCTTAATGTTTTTTTTTGTTTATCGCGGCCCTTTCAAAAACTATTAGAAATTTAATTTTTCAAATGAACCAACTACTAAATTTATCTCGAGAACAGACAGTATTATGGTACACAGTATATTGTGCTTAGCAGTAGCACACACAGGATTTCTTTTCGGTTGATTTTGTGTTCACAATAACTTTTCAGAAATTACCAAATTACCATATGATACGATAGAAGAGAAAGAAAAACCTTCAGAAATTAAGATACTTTAGGAGCAAGGTTGAGATTTCATACCGTCATTAAAATATTGAATTACAGATTTCATGTTCATAAAATAATGTTTTAAATAATATTGTAATTCAACACTTTATCTCTGAGCTGAAGCAATATACATACTGTTATAACTAATTTTGTTTTTTTTTAGTTAATACATTTTTCATAAAAATATATTTATTACTTGTGTTTTTCTTCAGACAAACATTCAACTTTGTTTGTAACTCCATAAATTCGATATTTACAATTTTTCCACGTATGTTTTATTATAAATGCAATGATTAGCGATAAACCTAAATATACAATTTCAATACATTTTAATTATATCCAGCAAGTTGTATAGATATTGAAGATAATTTACTTTAAAAGGAAGTACTTATTTAATATACCAACCTCCATCGTTGTACAACCACCACACATCTACTGTTCCATGATTTCGTTTTTTCTGCTCGAATGAAAATTCCTCGTTCTTTATTTTTACAATGCAATCAGCCACCCTGCAATTGTTTTCTTATATTATATAATATATGCTAATTATTCTATGATTAGATAATCCTATTAACTTTAATAATAATTATAAATTGTATAATATAGGACATACAAACAGTTTGATACACCTGAGATATAAAATGTCAAAACTTATAAACAAGATAGGGAAGCTCATTTTGTGGGCATGCTAAATTCCGGATTCTAACCTCATAACAAACAACTTATTATAACTATTTAACAACGCTATTAATTATAATTTCATACACAATATATTCACAGTAACTATACAGATACTAAATAAATAACTTTATACTAACATCCGTAACTATGGGTAACTATGGTAACTAACAGGCGGACGAATGAACGGGCATAACAGGGGTCTAAGGTTTTTTAAACTTTTGTTTATAGAAACCTAAAACCTAAATAACTAACTAATACATTTTAAAAATAAATAATAGTTATAACTACTTTTGTTGATTTATAATATTTTGATTTGCTTGGGTTTTACTCGGGATTTCTTCATTTTTATGCTTAACATCTTGAGTTAATAAATTCTGATCATCATAACTCTCAGTTGATGACACACGGACCATGATTGTTGACATGTTATTCATATTTGCCACACTAACAAAGAAGTATCCATTGTAACATACATTTGAAGTATCAGTTATATGAATGTAAAATATTTTAAATGATACGTACTTGAAAATATTTAAATAAGTTTGAAGATCTTGATACGGACAATTTAACCAATCAGACTTGTATCCAACCATTGCTATATTTGGTCTTAATTGTCCATGTCCACAGCTATGTATCATATGCGTTGCTAAGTCCAATTCTATGTTATCAATGACAACATAAAGGGATTTTATTCCAGAACTTCTTAGCCACTGATTTCCTTCATCAAGGCATATTTTCTTTTGTCTTGGTGTAAGCGATATCTTTATAAAAATATTTACATTCATAATTGTAATATACGAAATTACCACAAATTGTATTATTTTTTGTTATATCTTACCTTTTCAACATTGACACACATTTGTACACCATTATTCTTTGTTATCAAATGAGCTAAAGAAACTAATTTTTTTCTTGACTCAGGTTTTCCCGTAAACACAATCAAATTAGGTAAATAATTTTTGGTATGGTATTGAATGGTATCGGCTTTGTACACGTTTCTTACAACTGTTTTTATTTGTTGTGTTTGCATAGAAGATCCCCAATTTATCACTTTATTGAATTATAATTTTTATTATTATAAATATTGATTAGTTAAGTAGTTAGGTTCATTTTATAAGCAATTTAACAAACCTTCATTTTTTCTACCAGCAAGTATGTACAAAATACATACAGCACAACCAACAATTGTTGACTTCATTTTACCAATAATTATCATTACTAAAATACAGGTTATAGATGCAGCAAGACTTAACCATTTGTTATAAAACTAAAAAAGTAAAAACGTATTTAAATAATATGTTGTGATTATAAAATACAAACTGATAACTATTAAACTATTTACAACCAGGAATATTTTCTAAGCATCTTCTCAATACTCCTCACAAGGCCAATCATACTACTCTAACTTCAATTCTTAGGCCAAATATTTTATTTTAAAAACCGAGTATTGAATCATCATTATCGAAATTCCTATCTGACGTAATATCTATTTTTCAATCAGTTCTTATCTGTATTAGCTGCATTTAATACTCCAATAACTCCATAATCAAAATAATCACCATTTGAAAATTATGTCAATTGTTTAGTAACATTCTGTAATATTGTGGAGTTAAGAATAACTTCTTGTAGTAAGTATATAAAATTGAGTGTGAGTAGATGTCATACTGCTGTAATTTTTGATTGACATAAGAATTATTTTCATTGAAAATGCCAATAAATCATGAGGTAAAATATATAATAATTTTATGGGGTATAGAAATGTAGATATCAACATTTAGTGAAAATGTCATATTTACAGTATTCTTTTTAGATTTAAAAGGTCAAAATCGTCTTTGTCAAACAATTTATGCTGAAAAATTCCATTTTTTCCATAATTTATATTAATTTTTCCTGCAGTTTTTCAAAAACCACTGGGAATTTTTTACTTTCGACCCCCTAAAGCATCAAGTAGATTCACTTTCTTTTCATTAAACATGTTGTTGAAGGAAATCAAAGCACTTAAAACCTACAGCATAAAAAACAAATTTAAAAAACACCCAAATTATTGTAAAATCAATACGTTCATCGCTCAGTTTACAATCTAAAATTTATCTGAATATCTGTATGTATATAATATTTACTGATGTGTAAGTACCTTGTATGTTGGCCTCCAGCCTAAAGGCTTAAAATATGCAACATGAAATGTACACAAATTTAACATAGCGTATGCAGATAAATACATAACTGAGATCCATGAGCAAATACTATAAAAAGTTCCTAAAAAATACATATTAAATAATTTTAGATGTTTCCAGAAAAAAAATACGATTACATTTTATTTTGCTGATGGAAACAAACTCTCTGACTTTTTATAATATTATTTTGATGACAATAACTTCAAATTTTGGAAACATTTGATTATTTGAACTTAATAGTTTGTTGGACTACTACAATACTACTAAATATTATATAATCTATTACCTATATATAAATATATAAAACAATATATTATTGTTGTCACAATCATGGCTAAAACATGTGCCCGATAGGGTTCATTTCTTTTTCCATAACCTTTTGCTAAATACTTGAGAAGTGGATAAACATCATCTTGCCCCATTCTTTGTAACAACTTTGGAACAAATGTTAATGCGGATGCAGCATTACTAATGGAAGCTGCTAAATAACCGATGATTACAGTATACGGCCATAACGAAATCGACCGGAATACCTTAAAATATTAAAAAATAAATGTCTATTCGCATATGTAACATTGATGTTCATAAATTATATTTAAAATTAATTAACATGAACGTTATTGTACAATCCACTAGGGCAAAATCTTTCCGAACAATTTGAAAAATTTCCATTTTGAAATTCGTTTTCAATGCCACTCGCTTCTCTCAATTGAACTGATCCAGTAACTACTATTAATACAATATACGTAGTTGTAGTAATAAGAATCGATAATAATGTTCCTTTTGGTATTGAAGTACTAGGATCCTAAAAAAATATCGAGTTTATGATCACTTGTCGAATTAATATTATTTTGTGTACTTTAAGTTTTTCCGATGAATATTTTACTCCATTGTGTATACCAGTTACACATGGAAAGAAACATGCGAAAATTGTAAAAAAAGATTGTTGACCGTAATATTCAGGCCTATAGTTTGGATACCAATTTTGTTTGAAGGTTTTCACTGGAATGTAATGTGGACTCGTTTTAATGGTGAATAATAATTAATAAATAGCAATGATATATATTACTGTCAAGTCCAGTGAAACCTTCTGCCTGGGCCAAGGTATTTTTTGGACCATTATATGCGCCAATAATAACGTTAAAAATAGCGAAAATTATAGCTATCAGGGGAGCATTTTGTACCTAAAATAAAAAGATTATAATAAATTAAATAATTAAATAATTTATGAAATAATTTTTACACACTCTTTTTTCTTTATCCATGCTGATACAACAAAGTATACTCATCGTTATTATACTTGAGATTGCTAATACGTTGAATTTTAATTCTGAATGTAGTATTTCATTCATATCTATGATTGGTTGTAGAGATGCACATAGAAAGGAGGAAAATACGAATATGTTCATAGCCGCAGAAACCATGTTCGCATATGCTAATAGGATACCAATGGACGCTCCGAATCCCGGACCAATTGTTCGTGAAATAATGAAATAAAGACCCCCTACTTAAATAAAATAATAATTAATCAATAAATAAAACTGTTTGACGAAAATCTATATTTTTATTAGAAAAAAAAGGAAAGGAGACAGAAGTAGAGGCAATATTGTGGCTATGTATTTTTAATGTTCCAAAATTTCGGTCAATTCATAAAAAAATATTAACTATTATTTTAAACATAAGGTGCTAAAGAAATGGAATTGATTGATGAACATCAGTCTTACAACAATGTGTTACTTATATAATATTGAACGTGAATTGTTGCAACGGTTTCCTAAGTGTAAGACTTGGCAAGTTTACCTAACACAGGGAGTTCTGTGTGAATTTTTTTTATAATAGATTTTTGTAGATGAGTTTAATGGTCAATAATAAAGAAAATTCCCGACAGTAAAAACCTTTAAGTAGGTAGCTACAGTTCATCCAGTTTATTGAAATTACCATATTAACAACTACTATTTCTAAAAATGAATTCGAACAAAAATATTGGGGTCCTTTTTGTTGAATTTTTAAGATTAATCTGTCTAAGCTATATAAGCTATAAGCAATCCTGGGAAAGTTAGTTATTATTCCATTTTGGCTATAGAAAGAATATAAAAAATAAAAACCAGTTAAATTTACTTCTTTAAAATGCAAGTTATTTTTAAAGTCTATAAAATATAGTGAATTAGTAAGATCTTAGAAAAGAATAAACCAACTAAGTAAGAAAAAAGTTACTAAAAGTAATACAAATAAATTTGAATTTAACTTAAAAAGTTTTGAAATCGAAAATAATTTGTTAAATTGGTCGATAATTACATGAAAAATACGTCAAATTAAGCAGCTCAGTTAATTTATTAACAGAGAGAGTGGGGCTTTCGTTAGGTAAGTTAGAAGTTACCGACAAAAGTAACTCCAAACTTAATTTATAACTCTGTAATTATAGTTAGTGACCGTCCTTAGCTGCTACAAACTTTTGAGTATTGGTACATACATGTTTTTGGAATATTTTCGAACATTATGATTACTAAATACTTTGGGGGTCGCATGGAATCTAAATAAGCATAATTATTCTATACCTGAATTCCATCTGCAGAATTCTTTTGGGTAAATAAGTAAAGAAAATATATTTAATTAAATTTTTTTTTTTAATTTATCGGGTTCAATGCTTGTATGATATAACTATGATAATAATATTATATTTATATTTTATTATATATTATAATATTTTATAATAATTATATATTATTTTTATTATTTATTTTTATAATATTACAATATTATAATATTATTATTATATTATTGTGACATAACTATTTAGAGGCAAATTATACGCCTATGTCATTTCTATATGATTTATGGTATTTTCCATTGTTACTGAATAAAAATAATACATTCCTTTTATTTTTCCATTTGTGCTGATTGCAGATAGTGACAAATTGGTGATTAGAATAATAATCAGTGAAAGAAAAATAATAATGATTGTATGAAATATTCCAGCGTATCCTAAAATCCACGGCATCTTAAAGAAAATTATCACGCTCCAGGTGCTGAGTAGACATGGAATCAACACGCCTTTCACCCATCCCAGTTTTATTCCTGGGCTAACTTCTACATTGTTTTCTTCTTCGCGGTATAGTTCATTGAACGATTGAATCTTTAAGTATAATAATACACATCATTGAAAAATTAATAAAATAAAAGACGAGTATACAAGGTATAATTATATACAACTTTTTATTATTTTTATATTACGGTTTGTATCAATATTTATTCTTAAATAAAGACAGAATAATTATAAATTGAACTATACGTTATTTATATGAAAAATATGATGACAGTTTTACATTTTGATTTGTATAAATAGGTAGAACTTGATAATAAAAAATAAATCGATAAGATTTTTACATTTTTTTTTTGGTTATTCGTTTCAAAGAAGAAGTTTTTTAATGTTTACAACATTTGTATTCATATACAAACACTCAAAATGTATCCAGTAGTCAGATTACAAACATATAATAGATTTAGGTGTAAAAGATAATTTTAGAACTACTATGAAAAATTTAATTTCTAGTGCACAGCTATAAAAATCAATAAAATTAAAAATACCATACGGTTTTTTAAGACAGGTACCTGATCAATCCACGGACGACTTTTGATATCAATTTCTTCGTGTTCTGACATATTTTTAAGCTTTTAAAATGATAACTGTTACCCATTTATGTGAGTGGAGCTTTATATAATGTTTAGTAATTGACTCATTATTTTAATTAATTAAATAATTCATAAAAAAAAAATTGGGAATAATAATATTATGCTGTAAAAGTTCACGAGATATTCACAGTAGATAAAAATTAATGAATATTTTACTATGCCTTTAGAGGCTATAATAATAAAATTATAATCAAAACGATCTAGGCATAAAATGTATAATTATTGTGTAATATTTAAAATAAATAAAATATTTTTAGTGTATACTTATATATAAATCACAAGACAATTAATTATGGAGAACCGTGCATAATGTTAGTTGATGGTACACACATACTGTTTAGGTTTACACAAAAACTAATAATGTATAGTAGAATAATCATACATACACCCTTCAAGCTAATGAAATAAAATCTCTAATCATCCTTAAATGACACCATAACACGTGAACACATATGTATAGTTCCTTGCATTATACAACATAAACACGCCATTAATTCATTCCGATATCATTAATCTAGTAGCAGGGGTCGTTATAGGGTTTTTTCTCCGAAGCTAATATTCAATTATTGCAGTTTTCGACCCCCGTATTCAGGCGAGTGATCAACCTACTGTATGCACCGTATGTCCTTACCTTAAGTATTTATCCCTTATATCCATTACAAAATATTCTTAGCCTTAGTTACCTAAACTTTGTATTTTCACTCATATGTATTTTTTATTTTATTAATCTTTCTGTATTTTTGTTCTATTACAAAAAATGGTGCACAGCGGCCAACAGGTATCGTTATCACTACTGTTATACTAAAATAACCACGATTTTAAACAATTTCATAACCAATCAATATATGAAAAAATCATTAAATCCGAATTTAATGTAATAATTTCATATATGTGTTAGCCTATGAACGTAGGTCATACATTTCTCAGATCTGTACAACATAACTTAGTCCAGAGTTCCGATTGTAAAGTTGATGAAGTCCACCCTCTTTTGTAACAAATTTCTTATGAGTTATCTTTTACTGTAAAAAAAACTATTAATAAAAAAATAATTTTATAATTTTAAAATTCATTAACAGAAATATTAGGTGCTCCAACTTCCACAAATACCTACACCGATCATCACATATTGCCCTATCCACATCGAGAATTTTTGTTTTTACATTTTCTCCTTCTTTTCCCGGAAAAAAACGATCTCTTAACTTTAAGCTTTTAGCAGAATTTGATCGATTTAAATAAATTCGAGAATAGAACCAATAAGATAGGAGAGGGATATCAAGGAGTGGGTTCAACTGTTTTGTGACAGGTTTCATGTTATTATCATTTTACTACAGTCTTCGAAAATAGACAGTCACAAAATGTTATGAAAAACCTATCATCTCCTACTTTTTAACACCAAATGATGGTTATATGTTATATATCTTCGTGGTCTGCCAACATTTTGTGAAATCAAACTATTGAAATATATTTCAAGTGTTTTCAGTGTGAACCAGAGATAATAAAACTTTTTTGGAGTCGTTCTGGAAATTAATTTTTTTAAATCAATTTTTCACATAAAATAACACTTTAATATTATTATACTTATAAGATGAGAATTCAATGAATGTAATTCAATTAAATCTCTTAAAAATAACGTTTCAACAATATATTCTTTTTGTAAATTGCAATCATCAAATTGATTCTCTGAAAAATTAATTTAAATTGTACAAAAATTATTTTTGCTTTTTGGATAGTTGATTACTTAATGACATAAATCCCAGGATTGATATTAAAATAATGATTTATTAGCTAAAATGTATACAACGTAACAAAAATTGTTAAGTGTTACTTTTAAAAACATGAGTCGTTGGGTGAAGAGTTCTGAGATAATTTCACCGATAGGTATATAATATATCATCGAAAGTTAAGGTATAACAGAGCTTTTGAATTTATATTTAACTACTTGTGGAAAATATTCTATAATATCTCACAATGTCATGTCAATTTTAATATTATTATGATAGGACTTTTTAGGTAGGGTCAACTTTGGAATTTAGTTATATGTATATATTACAACCATACTTTTAGCTTTGATCACTTTACCATCCGTCCCCCCTTATACACACCACTGCACGTGCTTCTTTTAATTTTATAGCTTATCGTAAATATTTAATTTACAGATTGTATGCACATAAAATAATGTTTTAAAAATGTTATGAAAAGCTACAATATACAATAAGTACTTGGTAACTACTATAAAAATAATTTATCCCCATTGCCCCATTGGAGCAAGCATAATATATCTTTATATACTATTGTAAATAATTAGATATTTATAAATTAATACATTTTTCATAAAATTATAGTTTTTAATTGTGTTTTACTTCGGACAAACATTCAACATTATTTTTTACACGATAAATTTGAAATTTAAACTTTTTCCACGTAGTACAATGTTTTATTATAAATGCAATACCTAACCTAACCTAACTAATGAATAACAATAAACCTAAACACAATTTCAAAACAGTTTTATTTTTCCAACATGTTGTATGCATGGATATAGAAGATGATTTGCTTTAAAAATAATTTTTTATTTAACATACACGCTACTGTCACCAAGAAACTATAATCTCTTAAAAAATGTCTAATTATATATCTTATAAGTTATTAATGTTATTATGTATAGAAACTTAAGCAAATTAAATCAGTATCTTTATTTGTTTATAATTAACATAAATTATATTGTGGAATAGTATTAAAATATTGTATCTAGGATGATCGTTTTATTAAGTTCTCTCAAAAAACAAACATTATACATTTTGTTGTTTATTACGGTTATTACTGTTACTTAATTATTTTTTTTTTGTTTTTAGAGTTATCAATTTTAATTATAAATAAATTGTAAAGATTGACATTGGTGTAACCACGGCAACGTATCGATTAGATGGTCATAGACATGCAAACAGACTGATTCACCCGGGATATTAAATGTCAAAACTTATAATTCAACAAGTTGGGAAAGCTCATTTTGAGGGCATGCTTTTTTCCGGTTTCTAAACATATTTTTATACAACGCAATAAACTATTATTGCATACACAATTTATGTGCAGTAACTACAGAGAATAAATAAATACCTTATTATCGCCATTCGTAACTATGTATACTGGTAACTTACTGTCGGATGGACGGGCGGACGGACATAACGTGTTTTAAACTTAAGTTTAGATACATAAAGCCTAAATAACTACTTCTACAATTGTAAATAATAATATAAGGAATTTATACTTTTGTTGATTTTTAATATTTTGATTTGATTGCATTTTGTACGGAATTTCTTCATTTTTATTCAAGTGCTTAAAATCTTGAATTAATAAATTCTGATCATCATAACTCTCGGTTGATGACACACGAACCATGATTGTTGACATGTTATTCATATTTGCCACACTGATAAAGAAGTATTCATTATAACTTACCTTTAAAGTGTCAGTTATATAAATGTAAAATGTTTTAAATAATACCTACTTGAAAATATTTAAATAAGTTTGAAGATCTTGATATGGACAATTTAACCAATCGGACTTGTATCCAACCATTGCTATATTTGGTCTTAATTGTCCATGACCACAGCTATATATCATATGAGTCGCTAAATCTAATTCTATGTTATCAATGACAACATAGAGGGATTTGATTCCAGAATTTCTTAACCATTGAATTCCTTTGTCGAGGCATATTTTCTTTTGTCTTGGTGTAAGCGATAAAAAAATATGTAAAAAATGATTGTTGGACGTTATTATCAATTCTATAGTCTGAATACCAGTTTTGCTTGAAGGTTTTCACTGGAATACAATGTGAACTCATGTCAATGGTGAATAATAATTAATAAATAGCAATGAAATATATTACCGTCAAATCTAGTGAATCCTGATGCAATTGTTAAAGTACTTTTTGGGCCATTATATGAACCGATAATAATGTTAAAAATACCAACAATTATCGCTTTCAGAAGATCATTTTGTACCTCAAATAAAAATGTTATAACTTATAAAGATTTTAATAATTTATGAACTAATTGTATACAGACTTCAGATTTTCTATCCAGGCCGATCCATCAAAGTATACTCATAATTATTTTAGATTCTGCTCCTAATCCTCTGAATGCCAAATTTGAATCTATTATTTTTCTATTGCTCGATTTTAGTAATGATTATTTAAATTGGTCGATAATTACATGAAAAATACAACTAATTCAACAACTTAGTTAGGTTAGCTTATAAACAGAAAAGGCGGAACTGTAGTTACTGACAAAAGTAACTCCTAACTTAATATTTATTTTTCTAACTAGTTAGTGACCATCTTCGGACCAAGAGTATTTTTTGAATATTTTTGAAACTTTTTTAAAAAAGGTTTCGTATTTAAAATGTTTAAAAATGTTTTCGGAATAATTGTTGAACATTATCATTACTGAATACTATGGGGATGGCATCCAAATAAGCATACATTTTCGATACTGGAATTCTGATTGAATTTTTTTTAGGTTATTTACCTATAGAAAATATATCAAATTAAAAATAGAATACATTTAAATTTAAAATTATATCAACTTTGTTTTTATTATTTTTGAATAAATTGATTTATATATTTACTTGTATACCATATTACCATATAAGTATATCATAATTACCATATAAGTATATCATACATCCATATAATTTTAATTTTATTTATGATATTTTGAATTGTGATTGTATACAATATAGGTACCTCCTTTTACTTTTCCATTCGTACTGATCGCTGATAATGAGAAAGTGGTGATTAGAATAATAATCAGTGAAATAAAAATAATAATAATTGAATGAAATATTCCAGCTTGTCCTAAAATCCACGGCATCTGCAAGAAAAGCATCATGCCCCAGATGCTGAGTAGACATGGAATCAACACGTCTTTGACCCATCCCAGTTTTATTCTTGGGCTAACTTCTACTTTGTTTTCTTCTTCCCGATAAAATTCATTGAACGATTGAATCTTCAAATATAATAAGACATAGCAATACAAAATAAATAAAATACAATTTACAAGGTACAATTTTATAAAACTTTTTATGTTTAAAATTAATGTACAATCTGTGGGCGCAATAATCATATTTTGCACTATACTTTATTTACATGAAAAACATGAGGAATGAAGCCACACTGTGATAGATAAACATTTTGATTTGTATAAAAAGGCAGAACCTAAAAATAAAAATAAATCGATAGGGTTTTTACATTTTTCATGGTAAATATTTTTAAGTAAGAATTTTTTAATGAATGTATATTTAAATATTCAAGATTTATTCACTTATCATGTTACAAACATATAATAATTTTATGTTTAAATAAAAATGGTGGAATATCAAGTATTACTTATGAAAACTTTAATTTCTAGTGCACAGCTATAAAAATCAATTGGATTTAAAATATTTTACAATTTATTTAATACAGATATACCTGATCAATCCACGGACGACTTTTGTTTTTAATTTCACCGTATTCTGGCATGTTTCAAAATTATAACTGCTGTTTAATAATGTGGGGCCCCATGTAATGTACACCGTATGGTAATTAAGTCATTATATTACTTAATTTAATAACTCATACAAAAACATTGAACATACTACTATTATACTGGAAAAGTTCACGAGATCTTCACAATAGATAAAAGCAATGGAATATTTGCATACGCACATGTCTCTGGAGGCTAAATAATTAAAATTATGATTAAAACAGACTAGGCATAAAATGTATAATTATTGGGTAGTATAAAGTATTTCCACAGTATACTTAAATATCAAGCACAAGATAATTAGTTATGGCGAACTATGCATGATGGCAGAGGACAGTATATACATATTACTTATATAAATACGCATTAGTTTTATACATGAGTTCCTTAAATACACTAGCAACACATAAAGAATACCCACATCTCCTCACACACGCCCAGTTCGACCGGAGGCTCTACAAAACGAAACAAATACCCTACCAGCGGTACTTACGATGCACTGTACAATATTCAATCATAAACGTATCGTTAAACCTTGACTTGGCGTGTATCCGATACACACCAATGAGGAAAGGATTGCACGAAAATCGGTCTATAACGGCTCAGACCAAATGGATACCCAAGCCAGTCTGTCAGTAAAAAGCCTAAAGACACGTCGTCCACGCCAGTATGCACTTCGACAATATTAATATTCCACTCCTTATTTACCTAACTATACAATATTAAGTTTGTTGGCTGTTATCAAAATTTTATCTGCTATAGTTATTACTGATAACTTATTAGTTACCATACATATGTGATGCATATGTTTTTACGCACATTAGGTACTAAATATAATAAAGTAGTAGAATAATCATATATGTATAGGCCCTTTAAGCTAATGAAATAAAACACTTATCAATCTTAAATGACACCATAACACGTAAATACATAAACACGTATGCATAGTTCTTTGCTTTATGTAAAGTAAGCACGCCATTTTAATTCACTATAATATACAATCTAGTGTCCTTTGTCGGGGGACGCGCTCAACTGCAGTTTCTCGACTACCGTATTCGGACCGGTCATCACTCTTCAACCTCCTGTATGGCTGTATTTTATGTATTTCTTCACTATATAGTGAATTATCTTCTAATATCCATTAAAAAATTATGTAACCAGTACTTACTTATACTGCATATTTTTACTCATTTATTTTAATTTATTAATCTTTCCATATTTTTATTTTACTACAAATGGCGCCCAACAAGTATCGTTGTCACTACGGTTATAAAAATAATAATTCAACAATTTCACAAACAATTTACATATGAACAAATCATTGAATCCTACTCGAATGTAATATTGATCATTGAAAAACGAAAATATTTTATACTCATATAACAACATTTTTGATTAAATTTAATAAATACAAAAACAATCATTTTTTAACAAACTAAATTTAACAAACTATTGAAAAATTCTTAAAAAAAATAATAGTTCTTTCCAAGGAACCTCCAGAAAAAAATGTTTATAATATAACTTATAAGTTATAAGTTACTAATACCAACAATTATTTCTTTTTAACAAAAAGCGTTAAACACAATACGACTAAAATGCAACTATAAATCATTACACTTTATATTGCTTACTTACATTATTATAAATTATACTACTCATAATATTAAACAACAAGTTAGAAAATAAATTACCTATTGGGAGAAATTTGAAACAACCCAAATATACTATAAAAACAATTCTAACAGTTCTAAAATAATGCATAGCTACATTTAAATAAATACAACAAAGATGCTGTACCATAAATCCAAAAAATAAAATAAAAATAAAATTATGAATTAATCAACTAAAATCACAGTGCAGAAATATTTCAGAGTTAAAACATAAAATTATCCTTATTAAAAATAAAACATGCCTGTAAAAATTCCCTTTTATAAACCTACCAACTTTTTGAAAGCTATTTATATAAATATTTTTAATTTGTATCACCTCAGGATGGTACTCTATAAGTAGTACAGCAAATATCTGAAATTTGAAAATATGGTGTTTATTAGGTCTTCTTGTAAATTCTAAAAATCAGAATTTGAATAAATGTACTACTATCAAAAAGAAAAACTGGCGTGAGCATTGTTTATAAATCTTATATTTTAAAATTCAATACAAGATTCCTTATGAGTTTATCTACCTTTATCAAAAAAAAATTTCGACTAGAAAGTCAAATTAAATTTTTATGAGCTTTTGAATTTGACATTTTTATAATATTGGATATTCACTTGATGCTTTATGTGATGATTTTCTTATTTTGTCATTATTAAAAAACAAATAACCCTAGATAGTTAACGTTAACACAATATTTGTATTGTGTCAATTCCTGTGCATGATAAAATTTTCAAAATATTATGACTCGTTTTGAGCTGTTAATGGAGATTTTCAATTCTATTTTTTGGGTCAAAAAGCGTGGGAATTGAGTACAAGATTTCTTATGTATTGTCACAATAGCAATTGAAATATATTAAAAATACATATGCACATTTTTGCTTTTATTAACATTTAAAGTTCGAATTTTGACTAAATTTTTTTCAAAAAATGATTTTGTAGCTAAACATTTATAAAATGTTCAACTTTTATAACTAAGGATCAAAAATTAAAAACAAAGTAGCGCAGAAATAGTTAAATCTATAAACAAAAAATTTTAAAAATATTAGATTAACACAGTTTTTTTTGTAGTTATTTTATGTTTTCTACTCATGTCGTAGTACCTCCGCTGGGAGGACTCTACACTCAGTCTAATCTGTCGTTATTTATTTTATTTTTTATCTAATTCATCAATTGTCCTTATTGTTCTATTTTATTGTAATAGATTGAATAAAATCCTTTAATAACAAAAAAAAAAACAATTTTATGTTCAAATTGGCACAAAATTATATACTGAATAATCAAGAATAACGATTTTTTTCCCGTTTAAACCGACAGCAGAGGAGGATCTGTTTGAACACTACTACTCCTGAAAATACTACTACTCCTAAGAATAATGATTTAAGTTATTTCGTTGTAATTTAAAAATATTATACACGGGTTCACGCAAAATTGTAGAGTATACTATTATTTTTTATACACACAATTAAATTTTCAAATGTAATTTTTTATAGCAAATTAAGTTAACATACTGTAATACTAACTCCTATAATAGTGAAATAAATTATTTTAATCACAATAATAGCATGAAATATACAAACTACAAAGTGATATCATAGGCTGATAGACCGTCTTCGCTCAGAATCATTTTTCGTATACAATGATTTTATATTATTGAATTAAAATTTAACACCATCCATTACAGTGACCCATTTGTAACCTACTGTGCAGCATAGTGACATCCACTTACCCGCATTTTGTTTTATTATTTATATTGAATTAATTTTAAGTTACTTTCTAACAAAAATAATATTGCTCACTAACGAAATATCTTATAAAAACAATCATTATATACACCGGCACTTCTTAATCAACGAAATGCCAAAAGCTGAAAATAGAAAATTATTTGAAGTTGATGCGATTAAAAAAGCTGAAAATAGAAAATTATTTGAAGTTGATGCGATTAAAAAAGCTGAAAATAGAAAATTATAAACACCTCAAACATCTCAAACTACCCAAGATATAAATCGATTTTACTAGCATAAAAAAATAAAACTGACACACTTAAAACAATATATAATTGTCCTGCATTTATTTATTTATTTATTTTAGAAAGTAGTACGATAATAGTTAGAAACGTTGACCAAAAGATAAAACAATATTACACGCTGCGTTAAAATCATCAACTAATGACAAACTACTCGACGTGGCCGTCGTGACAATAAAGGTCCCACGCACTGCAGCGATGGCGGTGGCGGTGAAATGAGTCCTGGCCCAATATTTACCTCCACTGCTGTAGGGACTTAAATTATTCGATATTTTCGAATAGGAGTTATACGGCTGAATTATGATATATTACCTAAATGCTAGTAGTATTCGAGCAAATAAACAATGTACTATTTTTTTTTATATGAGATTACAGTTCGTTTATCGGCAGCCGTCGCGCGTCGTCCAGTAAATTGCGTACGATTAGATAGGTATCTCGTAACTCGTAAGTCGTAGTATCAAACGTGTAAAATATGCATAGCTGGGCAAGAAAACCAATGTTTTTAACTAGGTAGTTAAGGTTAAGTTATCCTAAAATAAAAATAACTAAGTTAAGTCACAATTATTTATGAAACGAAATAAATCAGTTACAAACCAATAATTATTTTCTAAAATTCAATTTTTTTATCAAGTCAAGTTGAAAGTCATCAAAAAAAGTAACTTATAACTTAACTGTCTCAACTTATACATTTTTAACTAGCTACTGCCTAGCTTTGAAAATATATAACTATATAAGTATAGTCAGGAGCGGACTGGTCTGGCGGGATACCGGGACAAATCCCATTGGCCCATTACAATAATAGATTAAATATCCTCATAATATTTTAGAAATTAAAAATATAGTATACGAAATAACATAAAAATATAATAAAACACAATACATAAATAGGTATTACCTTATCATCTCGTGTGATTTTAAATATTATATTAATCGATAATATTATAATATTATTACGAAATGGTCGAGCGAATTCTTGATGAGCTATATTTATAAGCTATATTTCGTTTAATTCATTTATACGGAGTACCGTCTGTAGTCTGTATCAAATGTACGAAATATATACAGAGTGATCCAACAAGTATACTCACTTCCCTTTTTTTTCTTTAATACTGAAGTTTTTCAAAATCTGATTTTTGGAATCTTTTTAAATATACTCAAAGACCATATTTTCATATCCTTGAGATTTTTTGTGCCACTTAAGGAGTGTCCTGTGGCGATACGAACCTTTGTTTTTCAAATGAGAACCCCACTTTTTTTTTCTTTACATTATTTAGCGGATAATTTTTTTGAGAATTTTGATGTATCGAAATCAAAATTCGAACGAGTGGTTTCCTAGTTATTGGACAATTTGTATACAGATATAATATACACTGAACAGCTTGTTTAGTGATTTATTTATAAACCATAATATTATTATATTTATACTTGTAATAACTAATAACAAAGCCTCCGTCGCCACCACATGGCACACATTGAGCGCTAATGCTCGCACTTACCGTTGTCGCAGACCGCAGATAGCAAAAACATTGCTGTAATGTAGTGTAGATCCCGTGTTTTATTTTATTTGCTTGCGTTAAATGAGCCTATAGAACTATATAATATTATAGTTTATTGCATATTTGCATTGTCTGTACTTACCAGGGACTAGATCCGGAACCGGAACCGAAAGAACTGATTCTGGAAATTCCTGGCCTGAAATATTAACCTAGTCCTCCACTGAGTATAGTACTGTAGTGTTATTGTTAAGTGTAAACACCATTCGACATAAATGTGGGTAGGGCCCTGCAGTATTTAATTCACTTTGAATCCAGGCAAGGGATATTTTGGCAGAAAACACTCGTTCAATGCCAGGCCAATATATGCCAAATTTGCCAAATTTGAGCATTAAGATAATCATTCTTACATTGCCCAAAATGTTCGGACATCACGCACAGTGGTCAGGCATAAGCCCGGGCCCTAGCATTACATAAAAATGCCCGGATTTCCTATACTATGCCAGTAACATATATTATATCACATTGAAATTTCTTTATTTTCTATATGTTCGTTGAATCACATGAAAACTCATATATTATTTTTAATTAAATTTTAGGGAACATTATGAACCTCGAAGACGATAAATATATATGAATAATAATAGACTATATTTTATGATTTAATAACGTACCAATTTACAAAAAAAAATACTTTTTCTTATTTTTTTTTTTTGCATAATAAGTTCTTATGTATAGAATTATAATTTATAAGTGTCTAGGTCAAAAATGGGTTCATAATGTTATGATTCACAATGATAACATAATTGATGTTTAATTCTTTAATTGGACACTAATCAAATGGCTTTCAGAGGATGTCAGTGCACTATCGGTTTTCTCTTTCTGACCCATGCGCAACATAACAAATGTACGTTTAGCAGAACCAACCCTGTGTTATTACTTTTAATATTAGAGTGAATCTATCAATTTTCAAACTTCAAGTGAAAAATATTATCTATCTGTGACCCCGAGTTCGCTACTTTGTGATATTTTAATTTTGATGTAAGTTAGGTATGAGCGTGTAAATTATGTATTAGTATTACAATTTAAAAATACTTATCAGTTATTTATTAATGTATTATCTTAAAACACCAAACAGGTGCTTCCATCTGCTGTTGGGAGAAGCTCTTGTGTTTATGACTTTACTATTGACCGTTAAGGCAGCGCCGTCTTTATAATACACCAGTAAAATCAACTATTTCTGTTTATTTACTTCAACGTTGCGCTATTTTAGTATATTTTATTTTTGTTAAAGTTTCGAGGAATATGAATTAACATAAACAACATTTTTAAACTGTTTAATTTCATGGATCCAAATGTAACATTCTAATAAAATAATGTATAACGATAAATTAAATATGGTTACCACTATTGCATGATTAATACAAACTTTGAAAAAAAAATGGAAAAGTTTAATTATTGAATGTCCCGTTTTCACACGAAGTAATCTATTTTTGAAGTCAATATTATCATAACGCATAATACCCACTAATTAATAATTACTATATTAGCTCACTTTCGATTGAATTGGTCAATCGTCATTGAATCGTGAAAACCATAAATAAGTAACTGTATGCATTAAACAATTTAAAAATATAAGTAGCTCAATTATACGGCGTGTCACGAAACAGTACAGGAGCCAATTCCATTCTAAATTCTAAATTTATTGTAAACAATAGCGGATTAAGATTAGCCATAGAAGTGTTTCGTGGTAGCATAAATATATACCTACGTTGAGTAAGTATATTTAGTAAGTAACATTAAAGTATTTAAATATTTATATCGCTTAAAATAATAGAAACAAACAATATGGCCAGACTAATGAGATCTAACAACGAAAAATTAAAATAAAAGAATACGAATAACGACAAAATAAAAAAAAACCGTTGTATGAGAATTTGTTAAATGACTAGTGAATATCTAAAGTCTAGTTTCAAAAAAAAATATAATAATTTGAGGTACACCATTTTTGGTAAATGTGTGAAAACTTAAGGGAAATGGTAATCTCTCAAGGGAATCTTGCATTACATTTCGAAAACTTAGATATATAATATATATATATATATAACACTTTTTATGCATTTCTAACTCGAAATAATTTGTCAATATTCGTGATTTTGATGAATGATTTTGAAGCTCATAAAAAACAATTGTGAAATTATAATCAATTTTTTTAAAAATCACTAGCTAACAACAATTTATGAGGAACATCATATTTTCAAGTTTTTTGACAGTGTGAAGAATTTTATTTCGACAACAATTTACAAAAATACTAATAAAACTCGTAATTTTGTTATGACAATAAATAGCACAAAAATAGAAGCAATAATTCGAATATATTATGGTGCCTTTTAATTGTTAACATCAACATTCAGTGAAAATAGTCGGTAATTTTTTTTTAGAGTTACACTAAAATACAAACTTAATTTTATCAAAAACTAGTTTTGAATAAAAATTTGAGATTTAAATTTAAATTAAATTTATTGTTTGTTTTTCCAGACACTTTTGAAAACTACTGGGAATTTTTTACTTTTGACACCGCGAAATAAAAACAAGATTCACTTTCCAACCGGAAATGATGCTTTGATACTGTTGAGTTGAAGCATTTTTACTGTACCAAAAGGTGATGACAAACACAATAAAAAAACTCATCAATTCGCTCAAAATATAAAACATATTATATTTATTTCATTTTTAAGAAATGAGTAAAAAAACATATTGTATACATATGATTGTGTGCAAAGATATTATTAGTGCATAAATAAGATAATAACATGATAGTTTATAAATTACAATACCTATACCTAATTTAAGAGATAAATGAACAAATAAAATGAGACTATAAGATAAACGTATTTATCAGTGCATCTGAATCATCAGTTGAGGTCTCTTTATCGAAAAAAAAAGGAACGTAATATAAGATATTAAAAATAGTTTATAATATAGGTAATTTTTATCATTATTAAAATTGTACTTGCAATAATAAATTTATAAATAGTAAAAAACAAATTGATATAGAAAATATGTGCTTTGGTATTATTAATAGTTTACCGTTATTACAGTGTAAACAAGTTTACTTTACTTTTTTTTTTAAACAAGTGTAACTATGCTCATTTTTGTAAGATTGTAAGTATCATACTGCGTTTTATCACTAATTTTTCATTTTAAAATATAGAATTCTGTAATATTAATCAAAATTAAATGTTTTATTTTTATGAGTATATAATGAAAAATAACTGGTTATGTGGAAAAATATTTGTGAATATATTCCTTTATATAAAATACTAAGTTCTTATGTAGCGGTATTGTTTCGATTTTACTATATCATGTCTATGTTAAGTAATAAAATATCGGTTACGAATTTTTTTTCGGGGATACTGGGTTTGAAATCAGTGATTGGAATGATCACAGTTCAATTTAGCTCAGAGTGAAAAAAAATAATATCTACCTACATTAGGTAATCTGAAACGAAATTCAAGAGTGCGTGATTGTATACATAAATAAAGTAAAATTAATGCATATTGCATATAATATATATTTATGGCTTAAGCATTGACTGTAAGGACTGGCTGAGTACTCCCATTGATTATAATACACGGTGGTAACCCTCTAGAAATCGTTTCTATCCAACACATGAATAATATATTGATTTCATCGCTATTTTTAGGAGTCGTTCTGGAAATTTTTTTTTTAAATCAATCTTTAACGTAAAATAAAACTTTAATAATATTATACTTACAAGATGATAAGATCAGAATTAAATGAATGCAATTCAATTAAATCTCTCAAAAATAACGTTTCAGCAATATGTTCTTTTTGTAAATTGTAATCATCAAATTGATTCTCTGCAAAATTAATTTAAGTTATAAAAAAATAACTTTTGCTTTTTAGATAGTTGATTACTTAATGACATAAATCACCGGATTGATATAAAAATAATGATTTATTAGCTAAAATATACACAACGTAACAAAAATTGTTAAGTGTTACATTTAAATACATGAGTCTTTGGGTGGAGAGTTCTGAGGTAATTTTACCCATAGGTATATAATATATCATCGAAAGTTAAGGTATAACAAAGTTTTATGTTACCTTTGGAAGCTGCGCGTTCCAATAAAGAAATGAAATATGTCATTGTTGTAGGACCAGTAGTGTTGGCTAAAATGATATCAATATAGTCGAAATCAATTCGATACAGTGATAATAATTGTTTTAATCTGAAAAAATCCATGTATTTCTATACTTATATATTTACACATTATTTTTGGATTAATATTTAACTATTTATGGAAAATATTCCATAATATAACATGATGCCGCGTTAATTTTAACTATATAGCAGATGAATTTTCAAAACAGCTTGCATCATTATTATTTTAAAATAAAAATATATTAAATTAGAATGTAGAAAAATGTAGGTAGGTAATCCTTAAATTGTTTGTACCAATTTATATCCAAGTAATAATGTCGCTACGATACCTAATAGTTTAGCCCACGTATGAAAAACCCGATTTCGTGTGATTTGGTCGCAGTAAGTTGGGCGCGATAAATTTGGTGCGGGAATTTAGGCGCAGTAAATTGGTCGCGGTGTAATATTATTTGTAAATTATCTTTCAATACTCGATTTTGAGTCTTGGCTCCAAAACTATTCCAGATAATGTTCCTAGAAATCTCAATAGAAAGTGGAAAGAGATTACAATCTTAACCAATTTAGTCATTCCAGGAAAAAATTACTACTTATATACTACCTATAGAGAAGAAGGGCAATTTCCACGAAGGAGGACATGCCAGGGGAGGATGATATTTGATCACTTTACCAGCTTCCTCTTTATACACCCTACTGCACGTTCTACTTTTGATTTTATAGCTTATTGTAAACATTGAATTTACAGATGGTATGCACATAAAATAATGTTTTCAAAATGTTATTAAAAGCTACAATATACAATAAGTACTTGGTAACTACCATAAAAATAAATTATCCCCATTGGAGCTGAAGCAAGCATGCTTATTATGCATAATATATCTTTATATACTATTATGATTTATGACTAATTAGATATTTATACATTAATACATTTTTACATAATTTTTGGTCTCACTTGTTTTTTTCTTCAGATAAACATTCAACTTTCTTTGTTACTCCATAAATTCGAAATTTACAATTATTCCACGTAATACTATGTTTTATTATAAATGCAATGATTAGCGATAAACCTAAATATACAATTTCAATACATTATAATTATATCCAGCAAGTTGTATAGATATTGAAGATAATTTACTTTAAAAGGAAGTACTTATTTAATATACCGACCTCCATCGTTGTACAACCACCACACATCTACTGTCCCATGATTTCGTTTCTTCTTCTCAAATGAAAATTCTTTGTTTTTTATTTTTACAAAGCAATCAGCCACTCTGCAATTATTTTTGTATATTATATGCTAATGTTTTTATAATTTATAAGTTGATATGGATGGCCACTGTGTGATCGTTTTAATTTCCCAGCTTTAAAATATATTTTTAACATATACCTCATAACTCATAAGTTATTGTGGATGGAAACTTAAGAAAATTAAAACAGTATCCTTATTTGTTTATTAACATTATTCAAATTCATGAAGTAGGTAGGCAATCATATTGAGGAATTGTATTATATAATTGTATCTGGGATGATTGTTTTATTAAGTTCTCTCCAAAAACAAACACTACCTATAGATTTTGTGTATTTATTCTATTCCGTAGTTTATTACAATTTTTACTGTTACTTAAATATACTTTTCATTTTTTGGAGTTATCAGTTTTAATAATAAATAAATTGTAAATATTGACATTGGTGTAACCACGGCAACATATAGATTAGATGGTCATAGACATGCAAACAGACTGATTCACCCGGGATATTAAATGTCAAAACTTAAAATTCAACAAGTTGGGAAAGCTCATTTTGAGTGCATGCTTTTTTCCGGTTTCTAAACATATTTTTATACAACGCAATAAACTATTATTTCATATACAATTTATGTTCAGTAACTACAGAGTATAAATAAATACCTTATTATCGCCATTCGTAACTATGTATACTGGTAACTTACTGTTGGATGGACGGGCGGACGGACATAACGTGTTTTAAACTTAAGTTTAGATACATAAAGCCTAAATAACTACTTCTACAATTGTAAATAATAATATAAGGAATTTATACTTTTGTTGATTTTTAATATTTTGATTTGATTGCATTTTGTACGGAATTTCTTCATTTTTATTCAAGTGCTTAAAATCTTGAATTAATAAATTCTGATCATCATAACTCTCGGTTGATGACACACGAACCATGATTGTTGACATGTTATTCATATTTGCCACACTGATAAAGAAGTATTCATTATAACTTACCTTTAAAGTGTCAGTTATATAAATGTAAAATGTTTTAAATAATACCTACTTGAAAATATTTAAATAAGTTTGAAGATCTTGATATGGACAATTTAACCAATCGGACTTGTATCCAATCATTGCTATATTTGGTCTTATTTGTCCATGACCACAGCTATATATCATATGAGTCGCTAAATCTAATTCTATGTTATCAATGACAACATAGAGGGATTTGATTCCAGAATTTCTTAACCATTGAATTCCTTTGTCGAGGCATATTTTCTTTTGTCTTGGTGTAAGCGATGTCTTAAAAGTTAAAATAAATTAATCATATATGACATTGCTACACATTTTATTATTTTTTGTTATAGCTTACCTTTTCTATATTAACACACATTTGTACTCCATTATTCTTAGTGATTAAATGAGCTAAAGAAACTAACTTTTTTCTTGACTCAGGATTCCCCGTAAACACAATCAGATTAGGCAAATAATTTTTGATATGGTATTGAATGGTATCGGCTTTGTATACGTTTCTTATAACTGTTTTTATTTGTTGTGTTTGCTTAGAAGATCCCCAATTTATCTCTTAATTCAAATATTTTTTTATTTATAGAAATATCGATTATTAGTTAATTAGTTAGATTCCTTTTATAAACAATTAAACGAACCTTCATTTTTTCTATGAGCGAGTATGTACAAGGCACATACATCACAACCAACAATTGTTGACATTTTTTTATCAATAAATATCATTACTGAAATGCAAATAATAGCTCCAGCCAGACTTAACCATTTGTTATAAAACTAAAAACACATTAATTAATATTTCATTGTTATAAAAAATAATATATGTAGGTAGTTAACCTTAACTATTTACAACCGTCAACCATATTGGGAATATTTTCTGATCATCACCTATTGAGCACAACACAGGGAGGCTTCTGTTACTTCAAGTCTTAGACCTAATAGGCAATAGCTTACTTAAAATTCTAAATATTGAATCATCACTATAGAAATTCCTGTTTGACATAATAACTATTATTATAATCTTTTCTTATCGTTCAGTGCTGTATTTAATACTCAGATCATTTCATAGTCAATAATAACCACCTTATGCTTAATATTGTCAATAATTTATCTTTCTAACCGGTTTGTCCTGTATAATTATAATCTGTAATATCGTTTAGGTATACAAAATTTTTTTTGTAGAAATCATTTAAACAAATATATATGTATGTAACATATGTATGCATATACATATGTAATGTATGTATGGATATATTATTTACTGATGAGTATGTACCTTGTAAGTTGGCCTCCAGCCCAAAGGCTTACAATATGCAACATGAAACGTACACAAATTTAACATGGCGTATGCAGATAAATAAATAGTTGAGATCAATGAAGCAATCTCATTTAATTCGCCTGAAAAAATAAATTTTAAATTATTTTAGATGATTTCGAAAAAATGAATAAATTATTTCATTGTGTTTTGCTAATTCAAACAAATTTTATTTCTGTTCATAATGCATACTAAGTTGAAGAAAATAAATTTAACTTTTCTGAAAAATTGTATTATTTTAATTTAATAGTTTATCGTATACTACATATTTAACCTATTACCTGTATATAAAAGTATAAGACAATCAAAAAGATCGAAAAATAATATTATCTTATATAATATACTAGAATACATTTTAAGGCCAAACCAACAAAATTGTTATTCAAACATCGAGTTATAATTTAATACAGCTGAATAATATGCAAATACATTTTAAGGTTTAAAATAATGTATTAGACTTAATACATAGGGTTAGTAATAATTTTATTTGGAATACTGTTACCATATGCTATATTGTGTAATATGTATAAAGTATTTAATTAACTAAGTATCTACCTAGCTATTATTTTGTGATTATTAAAGTTATTTTTTTCAAAATAATGTATCTAATAGTACCTAAGTAATAGGTATTGTAATATTTAACAGAGCTACATAGATTTATATGTCATAAATAGTAGGGCATGTCTTCGGTACAGGATTCTGGAGTCCATTGGCGCAAATAACGTTTTAGATTTGAGGGGGCTGAAGCCCTAGCTACTGAATGAAGCAATTATACAAGTAATTAATACATACAATTTTTGTTAATAAAACATAAAGGTATACCGTATACTTTGTACTTAGTTACAATATTGACAGAAAAAAAACTTACTAAACATTTTTTCAAATGTACTATTTCATCTATTTGACTACTTATAATAGTTGTCAAAATTATGTTTATAATATATAATATACATTATACACCACATAACTTCTGGAAAACAATAAGAATTATTAATACTGTAAATATAGCTTTAGGGTGACAAGTAACAACAAAATAATATAATAATATTATTGAACAAATTTTTATTTTTAAAACTGTATTCTTCAGTTGGATTTAGCAAATGAGCTTAATGTATTTCACTATCTACAGCAATAACTTTTTCGATATTCAATATTGCTTAATTAGTAGATCGGCCCTGAGTTATATTAGGTCTGACGTATGTGTAGATAAAAAGAACCTTTCACATGTTGTTGAGCTCACTGGTAATGTGATGCATAATTTTAAATAAATTAGAAAATACTTCGTCATTTAGATGTATTTTGATATTTACAGCAGGTATATTCGTATAAAATATGTATAATAGCCAAAAACAATAATACTGAAAAAGCTTAAAGAAAATGTAAGAAATGTTTCGGGGGCTTAGCCCCTAAATCCCCCCTATTTGCGCCTATAGTGGTCTTATATTTTTAAATCCGAGTTATATATTGGTATTCTAAAAATGTTTTTTCCTCGAACCGATACAATATTTGAAGACATTTTACTCTGTAAGTATAGTTCCTCTTGAAATTTAATAAATTATCATAAATAATGACTAAAAATTAAGAATTATCTTAAATAAAATGTGACATCATAAATTATATGCTAACTATCCTTTAATACCTATGATAAGTAATATTGATGACACAACCATGGCAAAAACATGAGCACGATAGGGTTCTTTACTTTTCCCATAGCCTTTTGCTAAATATTTAAGGAGTGGATAAACATCATCTTGTCCCATTCTTTGTAACAACTTTGGAACGGATATCAATGCGGTTAAAGCAGTACTAATAGTAGCTCCAAAACAACCAAAATATATAGATATTGGCCACAACGAAATCGACTGCATCAGCTAAAAATATTATAAAATAAATTTTAGTTTACACGTAAGTTTGATATGCTTGATAATTATATTTAAAATTAATTAACATTTATGTCATTGTACAATCCTTTGGTGCAATTTCTAAATGAACAATTTGAAAAATATCCATCTTGAAATTCGTTTTCAATGCCACTAGCTTCTCTCAATTGAACAGATCCCGGTACTACTATTAATACTACATACGAAGTTATAGTAATGAGAATCGATAATAATGTTCCTTTAGGTATCGAAGCACTAGGATCCTAAAAAAATATCGAGTTTATGATGACTTGTATAATTAATATTATATTGTGTACTTTAAGATCTCCCGATATATTTGCTCCAGCTTGTATACCAGTTACAGAGGGAAATAAAACCGCGAAAATTGTAAAAAATGATTGTTGGACGTTATTATCAATTCTATAGTCTGAATACCAGTTTTGCTTGAAGGTTTTCACTGGAATACAATGTGAACTCATGTTAATGGTGAATAATAATTAATAAATAGCAATGAAATATATTACTGTCAAATCCAGTGAATCCTGATGCCTTTTCTAAAGTACTTTTTGGGCCGTTATATGAACCGATAATAACGTTAAAAATACCAACAATAATCGCTATCAGAAGAGCATTTTGCACCTAAAATAAAAATGTTATAAAGATTTTAATAATTTATGAAATAATTGTATACAGACTTCAGCTTCTCTATCCATGCCGATACAACAGAGTATACTCATAATTATTATAGATACTACTCCTAATCCTCTGAATGCCAAATTTGAATCTATTAGAGTTATATTGCTTGATTGTAGCAATGATCTTAGAGATACACAAAATCCAATTGTGTTCATAGCCGCAGAAACAGTGTTAGCAAATGCTAATAGAATACCAATTGACGCTCCAAATTCCGGACCAATTGATCGGGAAATAATGAAATAAAGACCCCCTAAGTAAATAAATAAATTAATAAAACAATCTGACTAAAAAGTGCATTTTTATTAGAAAAAGAGACAAGAGATGGAAGTAGAAGTAAAATTGTGGCTATGAAATTTCAATATTTTTTAATCGACATCCAATTATAAGGAACCATAAATTGTATTTGTTGGCTTTTTTAACTTTAAAAATGAAAATGATTGGTTGATATTCGTTTTTCAATGATTTGTTACTCTATAATACTGAACGTGTGGGCGTATACTGTATAGTAATTATTAAGATATTTTTCGATTATTACAGCAGTTTCTTGAATTTAAAGCATGGTTAGGCACAAGCAAGTCTAACATAGCATAGGGAGATCTGTTTTAAACAATTACCAACAAAAAGTCATGCTTCTTTTATTTTTATAATGGGTTTATGTAGATGGCCCTCAATCAAAAAAATATTTAGGTAATTAGCTATTGTTCATTAAAGTTAATATATTATAAATAATTATTTCTAAAAATGTATTAATTTCATGCATACATAATTTTGGATAAGTTAATAGATATTTCCATGTTGAAACAAATAAAACATATTTAAAAAGAAATATTAAGTCCTTTTTTCTTTAACTTTTAATCTTAATAATCTATCTTAGCTATAATCAGGGCTTGGAAAGTTATAGTGACTATTCCTATTTAGCTAAGGAACTTGAAGAATTTGAATTTAAAAAACAATAACTAGTTACATTTACTTCTTCTAACTTTAAGTAATTCACAAATTTTATAAAATTTAAAAACTTAATTGAGAATTTAAATTGGTCGAATGTAACAACTAAGTAAGGGAAAAGTGAGTAACAAGTCACTGTTTCTAAAAAATGTTTAGATTTTTTTTGTCTTGTTACTTTTGTTATTAATTACATCATACAAATATTTATTGTAGTGTATTTAGAGAAGTTTAAAATGTGTACATCTAAATGATTATTTAAATTTTTTGATATTTACATGAAAGTTATAACTAATTCAACAACTTAGTTAGGTAGTTTATAAACAGAAAAAGCGGAACTATAGTTAAGTTAGAAGTTACTGACAAAAGTAACTCCAAACTTAATATTTATTTTTCTAACTAGTTAGTGACCATCTTCGGACCAAGAGTATGTTTGGAATATTTTTGAAACTTTTTTAAAAAAGGTTTCGTTGTTAAAATGTTTAAAAATGTTTTCGGAATAATTGTTGAACATTATCATTACTGAATACTATGGGGATGGCATCCAAATAAGCATACATTTTCGATACTGGAATTCTGATTGAATTTTTTTTAGGTTATTTACCTATAGAAAATATATCAAATTAAAAATAGAATACATTTAAATTTAAAATTATATCAACTTTGTTTTTATTATTTTTGAATAAATTGATTTATATATTTACTTGTATACCATATTACCATAAAAGTATATCATACATCTATATAATTTTAATTTAATTTATAATATTTTGAATTGTGATTGTATACAATTATACCTCCTTTTACTTTTCCATTCGTACTGATCGCAGATAATGAAAAAGTGGTGATTAGAATAATAATCAGTGAAATAAAAATAATAATAATTGAATGAAATATTCCAGCTTGTCCTAAAATCCATGGCATCCGCAAGAAAAGCATCACGCCCCAGATGCTGAGTAGACATGGAATCAACACGCCTTTGACCCATCCCAGTTTTATTCCTGGGCTAACTTCTATTTTGTTTTCTTCTTCCCGATATAATTCATTGAACGATTGAATCTTCAAATATAATAAGACATAGCAATACAAAATAAATAAAATACAATTTACAAGGTACAATTTTATAAAACTTTTTATTTTTAAAATTAATGTACAATCTGTGGGCGCAATAATCATATTTTTCACTATACCTTATTTACATGGAAAATATGAGGAAAGAAGCCACACTGTGATAGACAAACATTTTGATTTGTATAAAAAGGCAGAACTTAAAAATAAAAAATTGATATGGTTTTTACATTTTACATAGTAAATATTTTTAACGAAGAATTTTTTAATGAATTCATACACAAATATTCAAGATTTATCCACTAATTAGATTACAAATATGTAATAAATTTAAATTTAAATAAAAATTGTGGAATATTGAGTACTACTTATGAAAACTTTAATTTTTAGAGCACAGTTATAAAAATCAATAAAATTAAAAATATTATACAGTTTTTTTTAATACAGGTACCTGATCAATCCACGGACGACTTTCGTTTTTAATTTTTTCGTGTTCTGTCATGTTTTTAAGCTTTCAAAATTATAACTGCTACATAAAACGGAGGAGTTTTATATAATGTATAGTAATTGAGTCATTATTTTAATTAATTAAATAACTTGTACCAAAACATTGGGAATAATAGTATTACACTGTAAAAGTTCACGAGATCTTCATAATAGATAAAAACAATGGAATATTTGACTAGGTATACATGTCTCTAGAGGCTATAATAATTAAAATTATGAACAAAACGAACTAGCCATAAAATGTATAATTGTTGTACTTATGATAAGAAAGTTAATTGTTTTCTTTTTAATATTTTAAATTGTAAACATTAATTTAATATTTTAATGATACTTATAGTAATATATGATATAGCTATGTAGGTAATCAATAACTCACAAATAATTGATATCCATGAAAATAAAAGTACTATTCAAACAATATTGTACCTAGTTACTGCGCATGTCAATTTTTCGAGTACTTCAAAATAGTATTCCGGTATTATATTTGCCTTTTGGCTAATCATTTTTCGAACACAATAAAAAAAAAATCTGAAAGCTCAAGGTAGATCCAAAAAATAATGTTTTTGAGCACTAAAAAGCAATGGACAACGAGTTAACAATCAATATTTCATTTTATACTGTTAATTAAAATGAGTAAAAATTAATCCGATTAACAAACAAGTATTATATGATACAAAAAATTAATCAGGGTAGAATAAATAACGATTTTTTTCTGTACACACACTGCACTCAATACTTATCAATATTAATAACCTACCTAAAATTGAGTGAACTACTGGACATAAAACTTTCCTGTATTATGTGTAATACACAAGGGTATTATATATTTTTAACCTTTATAAAAGACAGTAGCCTTTTCATTTATAATCATGTAATTTTGGGGACATCGTATGAAGTATTTTAGAATGACTTAATATACATTTTTATTTTTAACGCCAGGTACTTGTCATTTGTATTCAATTTCGTGCTTTTTTTGTTAGGAAAATATTTATATTTTACATTATTTTATAATTTTATAGGATTAATTAAAGGGGAGTATTTTAGGAATATAACCTGCTTTTGTGGTGTAAGTACATCTTGAAACATCAAATCTAAACTTAAATTTTTGTGCATTCAATATTCATTAACATATCTGAATACCTATTTTTTTGAAAAATACTGTTCTGCGGCATATTATATTATAATTGGTGCGTTACTGTATGAAAATTTAAATTTGATATATTTAACAAAAAGGTGATGAATAAATTAAATTATAGGTATATAAGAAAAACAATTTATTTTACTGGGTTTTACGTTAAAAGAATCACTCTGTATATTATGATAATAAGACAATTATTTATTGAATATTGTAAATATTAATTATAAGTAAAAATGTGAGTACTATAATGTATAGATGAAGTTTTTATTCAAAACTAATATTAACTAATAACTATTCATTAACTATATAATATTTTACAGGTTAGGTCACAAAATACAAATATGTATTACCAACACACAGAGCTGAACATTTTCATGAACATTTTTTTAAAATTTAGATTTAAATGATTTAATAATTATTTATTATTTTAAGCTTATGGACCATACATTAACTAAACACAAATCATTTACCGACAATATAAGGTGTATCATTATAATTTAACAAACTCATATTACAGTGAAACACATAATAACAGAATGCCTAAAATACCAGCAAGAACGTCAAAACACCGGATTGGACACGACCCTCGACATCGCATTGGGACCCAATGCTGTGGAGAACAATAAGATGATCCTTTTTTTGAAGTCAACAGGTCTTTATAATTTAATTTAATGATTCACATTTGTTTTATTTCTTTCTTATATAAATACTTAGAAACCATACTGTTATAACTTATCTTTAATATTGTAATCCCCTACAAAAAAAAAAAATGATGTAAAAATCTTAAACCATGTAAACATACCATAACTGTAACTAATGGCCATGCAGTTGCCGAGTTTTTTTATTTGATCAATAAAAAAAAAAAAAAACTCCTATTACAAAATATACAAATGTTATTATATTTATTAAATAGTTCAGGTAGTAGGTACATTCTGTAAAGTATTGCAACTATATAGTCTATTGTCATTTATCTGTATATTACCATTAACCTTATTATTATAATAATTAACACAGTTTTTGTTATTATTACAAAATACGTAATATTAGGTACGAAATTGTAATGCTATTATTTCATACGTCGAATGGAAACGTAATTAAAGCCTACATCTACATACATACCAATATGCACGTACTTCTTGCACAAAATATTTAAAAAAAATTTTCATATGCAAATTTTCAAGCTTACAGTTCTAATTTTTAAGGTATAATATTAAAAATAACGCATTTTAGAATTTAAAATTACAACTATCGAAAGATTTTAATTTGACATTATTGATGGTGATCCAGGGTTGAACAATGTAGAAGGATAATAATATAATATAATATATTATATATATTAGATATTGAGATGGATGTGGTAATAATAAGTATTCAAAAATATTTTAGAATTTATTTACAACTCTAAACTAATTAATAAAATTAAAAAAATTGTCTATTTCATGTAAATAATGTAGTATTTAATAATGTGAACCATTTACTTATATCAGTCCAATGGCCCAGCTGCCGCGGACTTAATTTAATAAAAAATAAAAAATAATAAAAAATAAGTCTTAGCTAGCAAATTCTATCATAAACAGTATTTTTATACTAAATATAATTGATGTTTTTCTATTTTTAATTTATTACAATTGTGTCTATTGTTTGGTTTATACAATTATTTTTGATACCATGTATAAACTGTGAATTATGATGGTCAGAGTGAAAATAAGTTAAAATTAAGAATGACATTTTTTTCATTTTTTTGAAAAAAAAGGTGTAAGTAAATGTGAAATAACATGCCGATATTTAATATTTATTGATGTTCAAATCCCAAGCAATAGCTATAATAAACTATGGTGGTGATACTTGTTTTTAATTGAAATTGTTTTTAATATAGTTAGTGTTAATCTGGCACAACAAAGGCTCCTGGAGCATTTTTTTTAAGTAGCCACAATGTCACTAAAACTTTACACTTATTGCACAAAGGTTTTGAAAAACTAATCAAAATATAATCTATTAGTTAATTTAATTACCATTAATCTGTCAATTTTTAAATAAATTGTTTGTTTTGTTATTAATAAAAAAATATTAGGCAATAAAAATGTTTCTCAAAAAAACTCTATGTTTTAAAGGTATAAAATAATAGAATGAAGTGCTTAGTTTTTACATTTTTCATTGAAATGACCCCGCAACAACAGTGACCATTGGATAGAATATAAGATTGACACGATTAAATTACATAATATAGATAATATATTAACATGGAAGTAGAACAATGCGTCGATGCACAAATGATAAATCTAATTAAGTCTACTTAAATATGATTTAGTAGGGAGAGTGTATTTTGTACATTGTATTAACGCCGACGATGGATTTAATTGAGGCAGATTTCTATGTTGGGATCTTGACCCTTAGTAATTGGTTAGGTAGTATATGGTTATATAGTATTAATATCATAAATAATAAAACAATTAAATATATTTCATTTATATTATCATATTTAAATGAGCATTTTTTTAAAATTGATTTGAAGAATTTATAAGACAATATTTTGTTTGACATACCTAGTAATAACTGTAATATAGCTTTTCATATTTTAAATAATCTATTAAAAAACTATTCGATGTAACGCACCAACTCGATAATCGTTTCTCATAAATTTACCATTTTATTTATTCTTATGAATGTGATACATAAGGACTTGATACGTCTTTATAAGTCTTACTATTACGACTTTAGACTAGAATAAGGATACCAAACTCAGTTTACTGAAAACGTCCAGGGAAGAGTCATAATATTTAATGACATCGCCTGCCGATGACGGTCGAATCCGTTGGTATAACTTTAATCCATGTAGTATGAAATCAATTTATGTTTGTTTAGAAAATACGTAATCACTTTATGGTTTTTTTTTTTTGTTGTATTATTTATTCATAGCTAGGGATAATTATCATAGGCCATTGGGTGCTGTAATGGTGTGGAACACCTTTACAGTTTTCATATTTTTATAATTATAATATTACGTATAGTATTAAATACTATACAATATACATATATCATAGACGCGCGTGTCATATTTCATCCATTCTGTAAAATCAAGGAGTAAAGCTACCTATTTACGTATATGTATAACTATTTTGTATAGTAAACAAAATTTATAATAATCGTTAGGCCTGCTAGACATTCGTCAGCCGAACTAGTCTCGTTTCACCACTTGCTCCGTGTATTGTTGCTGCCAGGTCATCGGTAAAGTAAAATATTTTATATTACATTTTGTTTACATTTTAAATATATACGTTAATTATACTCGGTATAACTAGTTGTCTTGTCGAACATCCAAATCCTCTCACATTCCCCCGTTTGGTACAGATCTATCACTGCGGATACACAATTACACACCGTATACCAGTTGTAGTGATAGACAATAATTTAATTGTTACCTGCACGTACTATATTAGTCAATGCAAGGAGTTACGATAGGTTTGATACGGGTGTTGGAAACTCGTGTGTGTGTACCAAGGTTTTCGCCACTAAGGACCCGAATCACCCATCTGGGAACTAGTGGCAGTGGACGGTTGCCTACTCTCAATCACGTTGAGTGACTGATTGCAGCAACCGCGCCACGCCAAGCCACACTTGAAAATGAGTACAATTATTATTTATTAGTTATTACCAATTCATACATATGAGAGTTTTATTGTGTAAATAATTCAAATAAACAATTCGTTATCGTTGTACATTACTGGATAGTATAGTGATATATTATGTTATGCTTACCTGTGACATATAATAGTCAAAAACAAATACAATTTCCTTAATGTTAAACAAGTTTTAATACTTAAAAAAATTATATAATTTGATAAATGGTTATTCGAATTTAAGCACTAGCTGTAACAGTTTGAATTGTATTTCCATGAATTAAAATACAAGGTGGTAAATCTCTAGTTATCACTTCCATCCAATACATATGTATTTTTTCTAGTTTCTCGGTAGTTTTAGATGATGATCTATAAGTAACACAAAATAAGTTTTTTTCGTTTATTTGTAC